AGGTGGGGAGGGAGAGGGCTCCGTGAATCAGCCAGTTAACTGCCTGTCTAGTCAAACCGAAAGAAGCCCAGCCTTTCCAGGCGCGCTCGAAGCGAGAGGATGCGGTTAAACGAGGCTGCGAGAGGGAGGGAGGGAGGGAGGTTTCTTTCTCCCCCCCCCACAAGTCCCATGAATATTAGGGCCAGATCAGCCTGCGACCCAGGATGCGGAAAGTGAACCCCCCCCCAAAAAAAACTGTCAATGACACACCCGCGCTGAGCCCGCTTCCTCTCTAACTTTTGCAAAAGTTTGCAAAATATTTCTTATTGGGGGGGGGATTGTGATGGTTTCCGTTATTGGGAAAAGAAAAGCAAAACAGCCCCCCCAGCGCTCTCCTGCCTTTCTCCGCTCTTTCGAGATGTCCGATCTCCTTTTTTATTCGCCCTCCCAGTTTACCCAGTAAGCCAGCCGCCCTGGTTTTACTGGGAGCTGATTCTCTAAGAAAGTCTTGCGGACACAGCTCGGCTGGAGAGTCGCTTTCGCGACCCTTGACAAAATTTAAGAGGAGGAGGATCGAGGGGGGTCGGGAAGGAGGGCTGAAGTCCCCTTCGCGATCCTCGGCCGGCTTCCTCGGGAGTAAGCGGAGCCTCCCGCGGCTTCTCCGGGTAGCCTGGCCAGGCTCGCCAAGGGCAAAGCGCTTCGAGCTACTTGCTATGCTTTGCCGGCTTAGATCGAGAGCTCGCCCCCCTTTTTTTACTCCCGAGTAAACCTCCCCCCAGACCTGCAACCTTCCAAAAATAAAAAAAAGATCATCCGTGGCCACCATCCAAGAGGGAACACCAAGACATTAAAAAGTCCAGTTTTCGCCTCTCTCTTTTTTTGCAAAGCCGGCAACATATTTTTTTCCAAAAGTGAAATTTAAAAATAAACAGATTTCAAAAAACTCTTTTCGTTCCACTTTCAAAACCGACGCGCTTCCGCTGGCAGAAAGTGTGTGGGGGGGGTTGCAAACCCACACGTTTTCCCTCTAGGCACCCCCCTTTCACGTCTCTCCGCGCCACCCACCCACCTCCCCAAAAATCATCATGCCCATAAATCCTGCTTCTTACCGCTTTCCTTCCTTCCCGCCCCCCCCCAAAAAAGGGAGATCGCGCCCGCCTCCTTTCTCACCCGCGATTCACATCTGGATCTTCATGCCCGAGGACGGAGATGGGAAAGAAAAGTGTCCGAAAAAGAGGAAAAAAAGAAAAGAAAATCAAAAAACAGAGAGAGAAAAAAGTTTGGGGGGATCGCAAAGCCGCGGATCTCACGCACCCCGGTGTGTGGATCCAGAGTGATCAGAGAGGATCCTGCATCTCCGGCTTATAAAGGTGTCCTTAACCCCCCCTTTTTTTTTCCTCCCCCCGTTAAGCGGGTGCTAGGAGATCAAGATGCTCAAAGATGCGCCCAGGCGCCATCTTTTCCCTTTTTTCTAATTTTTTCCACCCCTTCTCGACTCTGTTTTTCCCGCGAATTATTTGCGTTTTGCTTATGCAATTCAGGCCGGCCAACCTTCCCCGCCTCTCGCTTCGTTTTTCTGCCCTCCCTCCCCTCCGGAACGGCTCCTCCTCTTCTGTCATTCCGGCTTAAAACCTCCCCATCTCGGTCCCTCGCCAGGATCTTTTTTTTTTTTAACCCGAAAAAAAATAATAATAAAAGAATCAGGTTTCCCCTCTAAGGAACCTCTTCTCAGCAGAAAAAGAGAGAGGATTCTGAGCGTTTTAATTGGGATTCTTCTTTCCTCCAGAGATGGAAAAAAAAAGGAGCCAGAATGATTACAGCCGGCAACTAGGAGGAGGGAAGAGCCTCCATGTTCAAGAGAAGTCTACCTGCCCATTCTAGTTTGCTGTAGGGGGGGGGAAGAGAGGGTAGTGCCAAGTGACTGGCAGTTCGCTGGGGGTTCCCAGGCCGTGGGACGAGAGAGAGTGTGTGTTTTGCTTTGTCTCTCTTGGAACTGCTGGATAGATCGGTGGGTTGGGAGTTCGAATTCCCCACACCCAAGCGTCTCCTTGATAGGGGCTGGACTCCATGATCTGGAGCGCTCAGATGATTCGTTCAGCTTTTGGAAGGCCTCCTGCACCGAAACGACCGAATGTTTCGTACGCAGCTTTCTGTATCAGATTTGTAAGCATTTTGAATAAGCGCTGTACAAGTATATCTTTGCTGTATGCATTTTTTTTTTCAATTTTGTATGCGCTATGCCAAAGTTAAATGTTTCATCTGGCTGATGCAATCCGGTTGTTCCCCCCCCCCGATTATAGCAGTTTTTGATGCTGCGAATTCTGCGATAAGGAAAAAATTGTGCTTTCTAAGCCACCTTTAGATGTTGTCGTTATTTGTATATGAATTCTGCACTCACTCCAGAGAACGGAAGACAGAGTATATATTTTAATTGTATTTTATCTTTTTTTAAAAAAATTGTATTTTAATTGTTGTAAGCCGCCCAGAGACCTTTGGGTAGCGTGGGCAGCATAGAAATTAAATAAATAAATAAAATAAAATAAGAAGACACACCCCACCAAAAAAAAAAGGAGGCACAAGTTAAATTATGTGCGCTAACGAATAGGATCGGATGCAAAATGATGACTGTCATCATTGAAACCTTTGGCACAAATCTTACTCAAGCGGGGAAGATGATGGCCAATAGCTGCGCCACCCTAATCACACACACCCACTTCCCGCCGGTTCGTGGTTTGATTGTGGATGAGAAGCCCTCCCAGGAAAGAAAGCCAAAAAATGTTCGAATGCACTGTCGAGACAATGTATTCCAGATGTGGCCGGTTCTCTCCTCGACTCCCCACAAATGGGGCAACCCACTTCCTTTCCGAGAGCCAAAGATTTCGGGGCCTCAAGGACGCTCCGAGTGCGAAGATGATGATTTATATTTGATTTATTTAACGGGAAGAGTATCGCCGCTGCTATCCATGGACTTCTCTGTGTCTTAACAGGTCTGTTTCGACAGGCTGGCGTTTATTCCATCCAGATCAAGTCCATCCTCAGTTTTTGTTTTAAAATAAAATGGTGAAAAAAATGGGGGGGGGCATTTTTGTTGACTTGCCATATAAGCCGTTGCAGCACATCACACCCTTCTATACACCTAAAGCAGAGTATCACAAGCAACAGCACAATACACCCACACGCGCCGGATGAGAGTGACACAGCGACGGAGGTTGGAGGCCAGAAAGACACAGGGCATGCAGAGAATCTGAAACTGATCAGCCACCCGCAAAATACGCTTTCGAATCTTGGCTGGGCAGCTAAAATGAGTCATAAGCAACTTTGCTAATCAGCCCTGCTCAAAATGCAGATCAGCCCTCTCGCTCATAAAGCGAGTAAGTTTTGTCACTGTACATTTTGAAGGGACAGGCTCCCCCCCTGCTAGTCGTCTCCTTAGCCACATCCCCAAAATGCAGGGAGCCGCGCATCCCTCCATCACAACAAAGGCGTTCTAGCAGCTTTTGACCCCTCTTAGTCTTTTGTCGGGCTAATAGACCTTGATTGTCATTCAGTGACTCCAGGGCCAGGGGGTGCCAGAAACCCACTCCGGTTTTTAGTCTGTGTTTTTGTCAGGACTACCCAGCACAAACTGTCTCCTTAACACGAATCCAGCACCTCAGTTAGCTTCTGTAAAGCACAAACTAAAAACTGGAGCGGATTCACAGCTCTCGTGGAATCGGAGTCACCGGCCACCAAGCTTGCCCTTCTTATTAGAAAACTGCTAAAGCAGATTACAGCAGGAATCATTTGCGGCCATGAGTAAACACTAGAGAAACTGATTTTTCTCGCTGGGCTTTTTGTGCGGAAAGCAGATGGAAAACAAGGGAGCATGTTGGATAGCGCTGAAGATCGTCTCTCTGAAGCAAAAAAATCCAGATCTGTTGACCCAAGTCTTGGTTCTACGATCACACCTCACGAGCAGTTTTTCCGATGCAATCTTCAATTCATCACCAGCGGCTTCTTGGAAATTCGCCGACCGCAGGGTTCACGAACTGGCGTGTGCAACACACCGAAGGAAAAGTGTGCCTTCTTTTATATACGCATATTTTGGGGACTGCAGCTTGGTCAACGGGATGAACCTGGAGAAGCCACTGGCCTCGTTCATCTCCCCCACGGGCCTCTGAAAGGACGCCGACGCCGGATCGGGGTGAATCGTGTTGGTAAAATGCTCCCCATCGTTTTGGTCAAGCAAAGTCAAGGTCATCTGTGAGTCGGCAGACAAGAGGGAAGGAAGAACAGGTTAAGCTTCGAAGAAAAAATCAAATAAAATAAACTACAGCTTGGAAATTTTCTCCCAGAATCCCCCACTTTGGATGGTCGTTTGGAAAAAACACAACGACAACCCTATTTCCATGTTCGGAGGGATTCGCCGCTCTGATGTGTGTGTGTGTTTTGGTTCTCATGCAGCACGAATAAGCAAATGTGTTACAACAGCAGGTGCTTTTCAGTAAGCAAAAAACCTTCCCACATCTCAAGGTCAAGCAGTTAGAAAAACAGGACAGACAGAACAAGCTTCTCCAGCAGAGAATTTGAAAACACATTTAAATCCGTTTCCCATACTTTTCCCTTCAAAGGAGGTGAGAAAAAACCAACCACCACCGCTGATTTGAAATCAGTCAATAAAAGCACCAATGTATTGGTTTTCCTCCAGCTCAAGATGAAGGCCTGTTAACCTATCTGACTCCTTGTTTGCTCCATAATCTTCAGGCACCATGTCCGCCCCCTCCCCAGTTGCCCTTTGTGGTGGTGTAGTAGATCCTGGGCTCACAGGGCTGCAGTAATATGACTTTTCGATTAGCAGGGACAAAGCGCCCTTCACCATTTCTGATGGCACGGATGACCTCACTTTGAGGGGTGGTCTCCTCCTGCCTCCTCCAGACCGGTTACTTCCCCCAGGATTACTTTGATTGCCCTCTTTCCGTGGGCCCGATCCATACAACCGCCCCAAAGGGCAGCTCCAGGTAAAGAAAGATGCTGGTTCTTCCTACATACTAGCATGGCCAGTGTTCTGGATCTGGTGAGGCCTTTATCAGATTGCTCAGACGTTACAAATACGGCAAGCTTTCCAGTCCTACAGAACTCTTGAGCAGTCAATGGTGGCGTCAATCAGGGCTGGGGGGGGAGGTTCAAGCAGATCCCCCAATCTGGGCCATATGGGAGAGCTGTGTAGCTCATGCAATCCTCCTCCACATCCTTTTTTTTTACCTTGTGAGCAAATGGCCAGGGGAGCAGCGCGTCGTAGTCCCCTTTCAGAAGGACGAGGAAGACCGAGAGGTAGGATCCTTTACTGCTTCCTTCTCCGTTCAGGTAAATCCTCATGCACAGCTTATAGCCGTATCTCGAAGTGTAGAAAGCTGAACGGGAAGGAGAAACATGGCTGATAAGGTGGAAGCCAACCTGAGAAAGGTTCCTATTATTATTATTTTGGACTGTGGCTCCCACTCAGAATATGATGATGATGATGATGATGATGGACTGTGGCTCCCACTCAGAACCTCCCAGCCAGATTCCCCCAAGGCACTGGCAGATTTTCAGAAGGGTAGTTAGGCATCTGGCTTGGGAGCCTGCCTGTGTAGCCTTGGCGAAGCTGCACAGCTCAATTCTGACTCACGGTGACACGTTCCAAGGTTTTCAGCTAGGGAAGACTCAGATGTACTTTACCCTTCCCGTCCTCTAGGGGGTGCCCTGGGACGGTGCAGCTGGCCCAAGGCCACCCAGGCTGGCTCTTCTCCCAGGAAGCCCAGTGGAGGACTCAAACACCCAACCTCTGACTGCACGGTCAGATACGAAAATCACTGAGCTATCCAGCCAGGCAATCAATGAGATAAGTGCATTAAAGGACCTTAACGTTAAAACAAAGAGACACACCCTTAGAAGTACCTTACCCATCCTGGGCCTCTCCAGAGCTTTCGGCCTACATGTCCCATCATCCTTAGAATCCTAGAACAACTGAGTTGGAAGGGGCCTTGAAAGCCATCGAGTCCAACCCTGCTCAAGGCAGGAATCCACATCAAAGCAGATCGGACAGAGCTTTGCCCAATTTCCTCTTGAATCCCTTTAGCGCTGTAGCGCTTAATCACTGGGGATTCAAGCCACCATGAGCACAAAAGGAGGCAAGCTGAGTGCAGCTGGAAGAGATGCAAGCTTACGTGGGGAGTGGAAGCTGTTGATCTTCCCGCATACGGCTTCGTAGCTCTTACGGTGGACATCAGTGACCTTCCATAGAAAGACCCCGTTATAGGAAGCCTCTCCGGACGCGTGGAGTCTCTGCTCTAGCTTCCCCAGGGCCGCGTCCTTCTGAACGAGGCAACGCTGCAAATCAGCTATCTTGGAGAGAGGCAGAATCCATTCTCAGAGCATGAAAGAGATCTTAGTGACTTTTCAATCATTCACTACATTTCACTAGACATGTGAGCGAGCAAGACCCAGCATGACTCCATTTTAGTTACTTTCCTACTAACCTTTTTTAGTTACTTTCCTACAGTAGTGAAAGTGTGGCCTCACTAAAGAGGGAAGGAAGAGCTTCCCATGGTTTAGATGGGTTGTGTTGTGACTTTTGCAGCTTTTCCAGGCTGGGGATTCTGGGGGCTGTCGTTGAAAAATGTAAATTCTAGAATCCAAGGGCGAGCGTGGCTACTCCGAAACCCATCTCTGTGGATGTCCGTTAGGTTTCCAGATATAACAAAAAGGAATAGCTAGCCATTTGCTGCTCTTTAACCGTTCCCCCAGACCTATACCACTCTATTTAATGATAGGGCCGGTTTTGGGTGTGACACGCAGGCTGTTATCACAAAATAATGGCTGGATGATAAGAGTGGGACGACTTATTCCCTTCCAAGTGTTCTGAGCCAGAATCATAAGCTCCAGACACTCAGAGTTCTGTTCTTGGACAAGCAAATCTGCCCGTTTTCACTTTCTCCTCTGTCCATCATCCTCAAAGCCCCCTCCCTTCAAGTGTACCGGAGAAACTTGTACATTTCAGAAGCCTGAATCTGAAACAATATGTAATGCAGTGCCGTCCTCATCCTTGAAGACGTCAGATGCCATGAGAAAGTGAACTACCGGACACAAAGCGTTCAGTAAGGACATGGGAGAGGGCCTTCTCTGTGGCTGCTACTAGACTCTGGAACTCCCTCCCACTGGAAGCCAGGCTTCCCCCATCTTTGTTATCCTCCTGCAAGCTGCTGAAGCCCTTTCTCTTCAGGCAGGCTTTCCCTTAAGGTTTTTTAAATCGACGGGGCCTTTCTGAGATTTCAGGAGGACCAGACCAGCAGCCTAAGGTTCCCTCGAGAAGTTGGCGTTTGTGGAATTGCCAACGTGGCTTCCTTCCTTCCACCCCCATTGGGTCTTTACCTTCAACTCCAAGCCGCGGATCATGTCCTGGTCGAGGCCCCTCTGCCCTCGGAACGCCACAAACCTCTGGCGAGAGGCGGCCATCTCCTTGCTCAGCACCGAGACGATGTTTTCAAAGACGTGGAGCTTGGTTTCCAGCAACGAGACTCCTTCGGTCCTCCTCGAGAGGTTTCGCCACGGCATCCCCTCCTCGTACAGAGGCAACCCGGAGAGGAACTCTCCTTCCACAAACCCCCGGGGCATGGGGTTGAAAGCGATCCTTGTTGAAACGTCACCCTCGGTGAAGCTCTCCTTCACATCATCGCCTGCGGGGTGCAGGCACGCTTTCAGCTTTTTCACGTGCTGGAGCAGCAACCTCATGTGTACCCCAAGAGCATCTGTCTCGTGGATTTCTCTGTCTTTTGCCTCCCCCTGTCAGGAAAAGAGGCGATGTGTCAGAATCCCTAAGGGTAGGGACAATAAACAGGTGGACAGCCTGTGCCCGTGTTTTTCTGCTTGCCTTTTCTAGATCCACATTTAGATTGCTATTCTCAGGCTCACTTCCTTCCTCCTCTTCCCTCTCAATCACTTCCTGTTTCTTTGTCTCCTCACTAGAGAGAGGCCCATGAGATCTCCGTAATGGCAGCCCATACCTGTACCTTCATCTCTAGAAGCCCCTCGCTAGACGATAATAATCCATTCCACTGAAATTGCTGTCTAGCGAAATCATTGTCTAGCGAAAAGCAAATCGTTGTCTAGCGAAAATCAGTTTGCGAAGCAGGGACCAAACATTGTCCAGCGAAATTCCCCCATAGGAATCACTGTTTTGCGAATTGCTATAGCGATCCCAATAAGTCAATGTCTAGCGAAAAAACTGTCATGCAGGGTAACTGTCTAGTGAGGCACAACTGTATAACCCTCCCTGGTATTTGAGATTTCAGGGGAAGGCCTTCTCTTGCTTCTGTTTCCCTCCCTGGTGTGTCTCATGAGGACACAGGAGAAAAACATTTTCCATGGCTGTTTCGTGACTATGGAACTCCCTCCCACATGAAGCTAGGCAGACTCACGCCTTGCTTTCCTTCCACCGGCAGCCATCAACTTAATCCTGTTCAAGCAGGCTTTGATGGCCTGCTGAAAAAACAGTTCTAGTTTGTTCGATAGTGGATTACTAGTTATTTATGCCAGCGGAAGCACAACAAGGTAAATTTGAGCAAGGGACTGGTGCTTATTAAGGAATTGCTCCTTGTATTTCACATCACAAGGAAGTCACTTTACCAAGAAAAAGGTGGGTCAAAAATGAAATGAAGCAGCTGGACGGCTATAGGGCATCACCCTTCGAGGACGGCTACAGTGCATTTCTTTAAAAAAAGGTTATTTAATCCTCTTGAGCTTTGTTCTTCCTCCCTCCGAGTATTCAGAGGATGTTGGGATGGTCCTGTTACCTGGAAAGAGCAGCCGATCCTTGAAAACCGACATCCATCCTCTTTAAAGGATACGACAGCAAGATTCTGTTTAGAAGAGGAGACCGACAAAAGAGTGTGAAAACTGTTTAGATATAACATATTTATATTTATTGTGTGTGCGTATATAATATTCCTTTAAAACGCTGCTTGATGCTTTAAAAACTGCCTGCTTCTCTGTGTTGCAGGAGAATTTATCCCTCTCCCAGCATCCAGAAAGAAGCAGTTTACGGTCCATAGAGGTTTACACCCACAAAATGTGCGGGGCACACCAGCGTGGGCCCGATCCACTGGGCTCCCACTAACCTGGTGTATGATTGTGTGACGGATCATCTTTTCTAAAGATGCTGAGCAAAGCCGTCCGTGGATTGTCAAACGAGGGAGACCTGGGAGCGGATGGAAGGGTGGGACCGGCATCTGGCCAGCTTTAAAAATAAATGGGCCACGGTGCATCGGGCAACATCGTGACAACACAGAACTTTGGAAAGTCCAGTTTATTTTGGCAGAGAGAAAGACAGGTAGTGACATCTGATTTACGAAATGTCACACTCAGGCACAGTGCCAGCAAAAACATTGGCCAACTGAGGCTGTGATGTCTGTATTCGGGCATCTAGACACGGTTCCCCTAAGCTGCCATCCTTCAGATATTTGGTACTCCCATTCCCATCTGAACAGGCAATAGTCAGGGATAATGGTAATTGTAGTCCAAAACGTTGGAGGACAGCTGTCCAGGACGGATTTATTTTTAGTAAATAAAAGCCGCCCGCCACAACACCGGGCCTGAAAGTCACATTTTCCCACAAAGCCAGGGTGCATGAATTTACTTGTTCCCACTTATCTACAGTTATGGGGCAAATCAATGAAAGAAACTGACCTGGTGGTCACTGCAGGCATCTGTCTGATGACAACTGGATCGCAGGTTGGCCTTTGTGCAGCCGTTCCGCAGATGATCGGCCAACATTTTGCGCATCACGAGTTGCCCGCAGCCAAAGTGACATGGATTCAGGGCTTGTTCACATGTGCGCCGGTGGTCCTGGAAACGGGAGTGTTCAGGGTGGGTAAAAACGTCTCCCCAAAAATTGCTTTTTCAAAATAAAAGAAATTAATACTTTTTTTAAAAGAAAGAAAACTAAAACAGCCATCATTCGAAAGCCAGTGTTGGCAGCCTTCTCTAACCAACGAGAAGGTGAAGCAACAAAGCGCAGTGGCGCAACCCTTGATCTGTATACAGAAGGTAGCGGGTTCAGGTCCTCCCACCTTCAGGAACGGCTAGGAAAATCTGGCTGAAACTTGAGGACCCAGTGGTACCAATTAGAGCTAAAGAAGGATAATATAATTAATCAAAAATCTCTTCCAGTTGTTGATGCCACCCCCCTCCTGCAGCAAGAATTTACAGAATAGGATTTTAGTGACTCCTTTTTTAAAAATTAGGGATGATTTGAGGCTGGTATTTCGTGTTTTCGGGCTGCTGACTTCTCAAAGAATTCCGGGCATCGCAGCCTACAACTCCAAATCTGGGAGTTATAGTCTCACTGCCCATTTGGTGCTCTAAAAGTGGGCCTCCGAGAAAACTACAACTCCCTAGAAGCATCGTGGCCACTTTCTTACTTGGGCAAATCAATAATGAGAAGGCGGCGGTGCAGGTCAAGGACTCGAAAACTCCCTTTTAGCAGAGTAAAACCTACGTGTGCAGATTCGGGGTAATGGGCTGCGATCCCTGGGATACTTGTAAAATTCTGAGAGTCCCAAAACATAAAAAAGCAGGCTCTCTGTTTATTTTTATTTATTTTTTTACAGTCGGGGAAATCCAGATTTCAGGAGGAGGCCCACGTTTACCGTTAATTCGTTTCTCACTTGGTGAGCCACGAAAGGATGTGTCGTCTTGGCCACCCAGGCTGTGGCTTATTGTCGGTCTTGCTCCTGACCACCTGCTTGCTCGTAGGCCACCTTTCTTACCTCCCGGATCTTCATGGCGCCCATCCAGTTGCACCCCAAGATCCCACACGGTACCACGAGTTCCGATATCTGCTTATCCGTGGCCGCATCGCTCAAAACCTGGAAGTGAACAGAGCGGATGAGGGGAGAGAGAGGAACAACACCAGGTCATCGGCATCTTAATTTCTGGAAACATCAAGAGCCCGATTATGGTGTTGTCCTTTTTTTTGCAATGACGATCTGGACCCTTCATGATCAACTTAAATGCCAGTGTGTGAATTCTAGCAGTGGGAGAGGTTTCAGAACAGCAGGCAAGCAAAAAGGGACTTTTTGACACAGCGTGTCCTCAAAGCACAAAGGTGAACCTCAAAATCTAAAGTTCTCAGGTCAGCAGCCTCTGACCTGCTCAAGATTTCAGGCCGGAAGGCTGAGAATTGCAGAACAGAGCCTTCCCCTTGCCTCGTTTTTGCTACAATTAATTTCTCCCCAGTCCAAAACAATTCCAGAGGAAGTGGGTTTCGAACGGGTGACAAATCGCCTCGTTCTCCGAAACGTTAATGAATTCCAGCCGAGCCAAATCCGTCTGCACTCCAGTAGCTCCCACTGCCATCACCGTACGGTGGTTTAATGCACAATATACCGGTTGTTTATTATCGTGGCCTTAATTGCCTGCTGGACATCCTGGTATGCAGTCTGCTTTCACACTGAAGAGCATTTTGACGTCATAAATTGCCCGAGAAATGTACGAAACTTAAGCATTGCTTGGAAACCAAACTGAAAATAAACCCTGGATCCATCTACGAGAGGCAGAGGGGGAAAGAGGGAGGGAGGGGGAGAGAGACACGGTTTGATTGGAACAATTCTACCTTTGTGCATTAAGTAAAAAGTGGAGGTGCTTATAGTTAATTTTCCAGTTGACTTAGAAGCTTGTTTATAATTTTACAGGAAAATGGCAGTTCGTGCCGAACACTGTCCAAACTCAGAACGCCTCTTAAGCCGTGCGTTCCGTCATCCACTTTCTCCAGTCTTTGGAGAATTGTGTTCGCATAACAGGAGCAGAGCCTAGAGAGGTCCTTTTCGGCCCACGCCCGTACTACGAAACCCAGCATCCTCCAGTTAGTAGCCAAATTCCAAGATGCAAAGGCGTCAGAAGCAGGCCGCAGACTGGTGTCCCCATTCACCAAAACCACAAACGAACAAAACCCAACGATCTTGCATGTAGAAAGATAGGGTGTCAGGAGCTCTTTTCAGAGGACGTAACGCATTTTTATTGAACGTATGAGTGGCATGGGGAACAGGGTTATGAAAAGGGCCCCAATCCTCAGAAACGAAGCTCCCGATGCAGCCTCCCTGTGTGCAGTTCATTCACGCCAAGAGCCGGCCCTGCTATGAGGCATAGCGAAGCCCCGATGTCAGGCAACACATTGAGGGCATCACGCAAAAGCCACAATAGTTTAATTATTGACTTTGCTATTACCATATTTTCTCATTATTATTATTATCAAAAAACACCAGGCACAGTCAATCAAAATTATAAAAACACTGGCTGGTCTTTATGTAGCAGATAAAAGTTTTAACCCAAAACTTATGTATCTGTTAAATATCAACATAGAATATAGGCTGTTCCTAATATTACTATTATTATTAAAAAATACCCGGCTGTTCCTAATATTGTGTGTGTGTTAGTTTGTTTTTTGGTTACTCTGATTATGTTTCTTCAATTTTTTGCCAGTGGGAGGCATTTACCAGTTTTTAGCTCCGAATAACGATGTTCTTTTATGGTCATTGGCATGCTTCCTGGCTGGACTGCTCAGTGGTTAGAGGTCAGGAGTTCGAATGCTGCGAGGAGAGCCAGCCTGGGTCACCTTGGGCCAGCTGCAAAGAGTCCCAAGGTTGCCCCCTAGAGGAAGGGAAGGGGAAAACCACTTCTGGGTCTTCTCTACCTGGGAAACCCTGAAAAAGGTTCACCGCAAGTCAGAATTGACTTGACGGCGCATAATGATGATGATTGATGGGTGATGGGGAGAGAACCTTGGCTACCCTGGATTCGGCATCCTTTCTGAGACTTCTGGAAATTGAAGTCCAAAACCTACCCACCTACTCCTTCCTGGGAAAAGGATATCAATAAGTCCAGATATACCATTTAGGGAGAATATAACACCAGATGGGTTGATGTACCTTTTCTACCGGTAACAATGCTTCTTCCCCCACGGCAGGAACAGAGTCTTCTTCCTCACAGCGAAGGCAAAGGGGCATCTTCTCATTTCTAGGCAGGGAAGAAATAAAAAGGGCAGAAGAAATCCGTTAGTCCGAAGCGGTACAGTATCCAAAAGCCAAATACAGCTTTTATGGGTCGCTCTGTTGATGGCTGTATTCTGATCAGGGGCCAAACTGGACACTCAAAGCTGACCCTTTGGCATGACTTCCTCGGGCTGGAGAGCAAAACTCGGTCGCCGTGTTGTTACACGAATAGGCACACCCTGGCTTTGTTCTTTTTTTTAAAAAATGGCAAATATTGGTAAAGGGTTGTTTTCGCAACCTTTCTTGTAGGTTAAACAGCAAAAGCACCTTTCCTCTATGGCCCTTCTGTTTTGGTTCATTTTGCCACTGATTTTCAAGCCATGCTATTCCTATAGATCCCCCCCCATAGGGAAAGAAGGGGGATCTATTTCCATGGGGTCATACAGGTGCACCGATCCCTCACTGGGTTGGAGGGCACAGCCAAGGTGCCCAGGGATCCTGAGTTCGAATCACAACTGAATCCCTGGCGAGAACAGGGATCAACTGATCGTCAAGTGGAAAGAGGGGTCATTGGAGACCAAGGCTAAAATCATCCCCACTCTTGTGTTTCTGATCACCGTGTACAGGGGGGTGAAAGCTGGACAGTCTGGAAAGCTTAAAGAGGGAGGAACTAATTCATCGGAAAGGTGGTGCCGGAGGAAAGCTCAGCAGGTACCCCAAGATGCACAAGGGGGTCCTACATCCTAGATCAAATCAAGCCTGAATGGAGTCAAACGGGTTGAATCTGAAGCTGTCCTACTTTGGACCCATCCTGGAAACCCAGCATCCTCCAGTTAGTAGCCAAATTCCAAGATGCAAAGGCGTCAGAAGCAGGCCGCAGACTGGTGTCCCCATTCACCAAAACCACAAACGAACAAAACCCAACGATCTTGCATGTAGAAAGATAGGGTGTCAGGAGCTCTTTTCAGAGGACGTAACGCATTTTTATTGAACGTATGAGTGGCATGGGGAACAGGGTTATGAAAAGGGCCCCAATCCTCAGAAACGAAGCTCCCGATGCAGCCTCCCTGTGTGCAGTTCATTCACGCCAAGAGCCGGCCCTGCTATCAGGGTTATGAAAAGGGCCCCAATCCTCAGTAACGAAGTTCCCAATGCAGCCTCCCTGTGTGCCAAGAGCCAGCCCTGCTACGAGGCATAGCGAAGCCCCGATGTCAGGCAACACATTGAGGGCATCACGCAAAAGCCACAATAGTTTAATTATTGACTTTGCTATCCTCTCCCAATATTCCATTTATCTCTATCTATCTCTCTCTGAGCCCCCCCCCTACCCGGTGGCTCCTCCTCCTGGGGGGGGGGTGGAAAGAGAGAGAAAAATGAGGACCCCGAGGCGCTTCTCACCGGACGATCCCCGCCAGGCAGGATGCGCAAGAGCGGTCCCCGCATCCGCCGCATTGCGTCCCCGGCCGGAGCCCCCCTTGGCACCGTCCGCATCGGGATCGGGGTTCCGGCGCCTCCGGGCAGAGGCTGGGCGAGCAGCCGGAGGGCCCTCGGCTTCCCCGGGGGGGCTGGGAGGGCGATTTTATGGTCAATGGCATGCTTCCTGGCTGGACTGCTCAGTGGTTAGAGGTCAGGAGTTCGAATGCTGCGAGGAGAGCCAGCCTGGGTCACCTTGGGCCAGCTGCAAAGAGTCCCAAGGTTGCCCCCTAGAGGAAGGGAAGGGGAAAACCACTTCTGGGTCTTCTCTACCTGGGAAACCCTGAAAAAGGTTCACCGCAAGTCAGAATTGACTTGACGGCGCATAATGATGATGATTGATGGGTGATGGGGAGAGAACCTTGGCTACCCTGGATTCGGCATCATTTCTGAGACTTCTGGAAATTGAAGTCCAAAACCTACCCACCTACTCCTTCCTGGGAAAAGGATATCAATAAGTCCAGATATACCATTTAGGGAGAATATAACACCAGATGGGTTGATGTACCTTTTCTACCGGTAACAATGCTTCTTCCCCCACGGCAGCAACAGAGTCTTCTTCCTCACAGTGAAGGCAAAGGGGCATCTTCTCATTTCTAGGCAGGGAAGAAATAAAAAAGGGCAGAAGAAATCCGTTAGTCCGAAGCGGTACAGTATCCAAAAGCCAAATACAGCTTTTATGGGTCGCTCTGTTGATGGCTGTATTCTGATCAGGGGCCAAACTGGACACTCAAAGCTGACCCTTTGGCATGACTTCCTCGGGCTGGAGAGCAAAACTCGGTCGCCGTGTTGTTACACGAATAGGCACGCCCTGGCTTTGTTCTTTTTTTAAAAAATGGCAAATATTGGTAAAGGGTTGTTTTCGCAACCTTTCTTGTAGGTTAAACAGCAAAAGCACCTTTCCTCTATGGCCCTTCTGTTTTGGTTCATTTTGCCACTGATTTTCAAGCCATGCTATTCCTATAGATCCCCCCCCATAGGGAAAGAAGGGGGATCTATTTCCATGGGGTCATACAGGTGCACCGATCCCTCACTGGGTTGGAGGGCACAGCCAAGGTGCCCAGGGATCCTGAGTTCGAATCACAACTGAATCCCTGGCGAGAACAGGGATCAACTGATCGTCAAGTGGAAAGAGGGGTCATTGGAGACCAAGGCTAAAATCATCCCCACTCTTGTGTTTCTGATCACCGTGTACAGGGGGGTGAAAGCTGGACAGTCTGGAAAGCTTAAAGAGGGAGGAACTAATTCATCGGAAAGGTGGTGCCGGAGGAAAGCTCAGCAGGTACCCCAAGATGCACAAGGGGGTCCTACATCCTAGATCAAATCAAGCCTGAATGGAGTCAAACGGGTTGAATCTGAAGCTGTCCTACTTTGGACCCATCCTGGGAAGGCCGGATTCTCCGGAAAAGACCACCCGGATGGGAAAAGTGGAGGGCAGCAGGAAAAGAGGAAGGTCAGACATGAGATGGACCAGCTCAAGGAAGCCCCAGGCTTGGAGTCTGCAGGAGCTGAACAGGGTTGTCAAGGGCAGGACATTTAGGGAGAAGGGGAAACGCCTCCTTCCTCTTACAGAACAGTAGCCAGCTGTAGAGCTGGGTGGCCCTATCCAAGGGTTCGGATCCCAGCATCCCTGTTTTCAATTCAATTCAATCCAATTCAATTTAATCTAGTCCACTGCAAGTCAATGCAATTCATTCTCCCTCTCCTGCAACAAGAGTCCTTAACATCCTCTCCCAATATTCCATTTATCTCTATCTATCTCTCTCTGAGCCCCCCCCCTACCCGGTGGCTCCTCCTCCTGGGGGGGGGGTGGAAAGAGAGAGAAAAATGAGGACCCCGAGGCGCTTCTCACCGGACGATCCCCGCCAGGCAGGATGCGCAAGAGCGGTCCCCGCATCCGCCGCATTGCGTCCCCGGCCGGAGCCCCCCTTGGCACCGTCCGCATCGGGATCGGGGTTCCGGCGCCTCCGGGCAGAGGCTGGGCGAGCAGCCGGAGGGCCCTCGGCTTCCCCGGGGGGGCTGGGAGGGCGAGCCCCTCACATACCTTGACTTGTATAAGACATGAATCTGCAGCATTTATTTCATTAGCATAATCCTTATTAAATTAACTGCTCTAAAGCGCGCAAAGCGCAAAGGCGCGCCGCTCTTCTCGTCCACCGCCAGCCGATCCATCGCCCTTGGGGGGTCTCGGGTCTCCAGGGCCTTCTCTCCGGCGATCTGGGGCAAGAAAAGGTCCCCCCTCCGAGGGATCCGGAGCCAGATCCGAAGGCTCTCCAACCCTGAAGAGGTGGCAACAGGAAACCACTGGGCGCGCCTCCCGACTCCCCCTTGATAACCGGCTCATGCACACGCACGGGGCGCGTGGGAAAGACACGCGTCCACAAGGAGCGGGGTCGCCTTCCTTTCTGGGGAGGGGCTGGGGCCATCCTGACTTCCCTCCCATGAAACCAGGCAGCCTCCAGCACGACCCTCCCACCGCCCCCCCCTTTTATCCTCACCCCAACCCTGTAGGGTAGGCCAAGCCCCAGGGACTTACCGGCCAGGCCCCCGAGGACTGATTGATGGCCACCCCCGCAGGGAAATCGGGGAGGGCTTGGGGGCAATCAGCCCCTGGCTGTTGCTGGTCGCGTTCCTGGTGGAGCGCTCAGGGGGTGGATGAGAAGGGGAGAGGAAAATGGGAGAGGAAAGCAAATATTCCAGGAGTAAGAGAAGAGACAGGGACAGAAAGGATGGGGTTGACTTCTTGGCCACGAGCTGGACCAGGTGATTTATATTATTTCCTTAACCATCATCATCTTCCATCAAGTTGATTCTGACCTAGGGTCAGGGCTTTCCAAATAGATCATACTCAGAAGTGGTTTCTCCTTCCCTTCTTCTGGGGCTGTGCAGCTGGCCCAAGGCTACCCAGGCTAGCTCTTCTCCCAGAAGGCGCAGCAGGGAATCGAACACCCAACCTCTGGCTCTGAAGCCAGATGCTTAAACCACTGACAGCTAATTTTGACTTATGGCAACCCTTTTCAGCGTTTTTCGAGTTGGAGGATACTCACAAATGGTTTCCCGTTGCCTTCTTCCGGGGGTTGCCCTTGGACCGTGCAGGTTGCCTAAGATCAGATAGGCTGGCTCTTCTCCCAATGGGTTATTGAACTCCTACTGGGAGAAGAGATCTAAACCACTGAGCTATCCAGCCAGTTAATTCTGACTTAGGGAGACCCTTTTTGAGGGTTTTCCAGGTAGAGAATATTCAGGTGTGGTTCACCATTCCCTTCTTCTGGGACCATGAAGCTGGCCCAAGGCTACCCAGGCTAGCTTTTCTCCCGGAAGGCACAGGAGGGAATCGAACCCCCAACTGCTGTCTCTGAAGCTAGAGTCGTGAACCACTGAGCTATCCAGCCAGCTAATTCTGAGTTAGGGAGACCCTTTTTGAGGGTTTTCCAGGTAGAGAATATTCAGATGTGGTTCACCATTCCGTTCTTCTGAGACCCTACAGCTGGCCCAAGGCTACCCAGGCTAGCGCTTTTCCTGGGAGGCATCGTGGAGGAATCAAACACCCAACCTGCAGCCAGAGACCTAAACCCTTGAGCTTCATCGGTTTCACACATGCACCTATTAGCCGTGGGATTGTGGCCACCGTCTGGCCTCCGTGGAGGACAAGAACCCAGTTTGTCTAAGTCCCAAGCCAAACTTTTGGCCAGTTAAGGTCGGCCTCTGATCCAGCCTTTCAGACTTTAGCTCCCGGAAGTCCTGGGGCCATTGTCGGAGGATTCTGGGAGGGGAAGTCAAATCATCTCGAGGCTGACCGTTTGAGAAATGCTGCTCTAAACCACACCAATTATTTCTCGATTTCAGAAGGATGCCTTAAGGTTTTTGATGAATTACGAATTTATGACTCGCTAAAGTGTTTATGACACCGGCTGGAGAGCTCTGTGGTTTAGTTATCCGGCTGCAGAGCCAGAGGTTGTGAGTTTGATCCCCCCATTCCCGGGAGAAGAGCCAGCCTGGGTGGCCTTGGGCAAGCTTCACAGTCGAAGGGAAGAAGGGAAGGGTCAACCACTTCTGAGTCTTCTCTACCTGTAAAAGCCTGAAAAGAGTCACCATAAGTCAGAACTCACTTGATGGCCCATGAGTATCAAGGTGTTTATGAATGAAACCCATCATGAATTGCTAGTTTCATGATTCACCTGTAAAAGCCTGAAAAGAGTCACCATAAGTCAGAACTCACTTGATGGCCCATGAGTATCAAGGTGTTTATGAATGAAACCCAACATGAATTGCTGGTTCCATGATTCTTTAAGGCTCAGCCTCCAAAGATGGGTTTGGACCTTCCTTGTTCATGTTTCTCCGCTGGAGGCCCAGGGTTGGGGACCACTGCTTGAGAGTTCAGCCTCCAAAGATGGGTTCGTACCTTCCTTATTCATGTTTCTCCATCTTAAAAGGCGGTGATTTTTAGAGCCTGGACTTTCCCCCTCCTCCACCCCTACTTTTCAATCCATCGACATTCTTCCAAATAAATCAAGTCGCCATTGCTCTCTGCAGCTTATGCTGCCCTCGGGATGCGTATCCCCCCCAAGTCCACATCTACCGCCACCTCGTAAGCGAATGCAGATCTCTCTCTTGGGCTGCAGACGGAGGCGACGTTTCCTGCTTATGACAAACAGGTCAACATCTCTCTGTTTATATTATCATCCGACCGCTTGCCACCTGCTTGCTTTTCATGGCCGTGTTCTCTTATCGTCCACGAAAGACATGTCGGCTCAGGTGACCCTCTTCGCCCGAGGAGGCCTTCAAAAGCCCAGCTGCTGGGCTAATCCTGCCCAAGTCTAATTGCTAACCCAGAGTCGTGGGGGGACTTAATTGAGAGCATGTTATTTTTGTTCTGAGTTACCTGGTTGCTTGGCTTTGGGGTTTTGGGAGATCATCCTTAGAAGATCAGATTCTCCTCCAGCAGGTGTACTTGGGAGACATCTCTCCTATCAGGGATGTGTTTACAACAACCGTTTTCGTTAAAAAGGGAAAATGGAAGTGGGGCAGAGGAACTGGGGAGGGGGGTGTCAGTTCCTCCTCTTTAGTTGTTGGAAATTATTAGGAAAGCGATCAATTTCGTGCCCTCTCTTGCGGTTACCCAGAAAGCTTTCTCTTTTGTGATTTCAACGATATAAGGACATCCTTACCTAGATTGGAGTCATCATCCTGTCTCATCCCAGTGTTCTAGTTCAACCAGCAGACAGTTCTCTAAGGCTGCAGGTATTCAGTGTATTGGAGAACGCATGAAGTGGATACTGGATCGAATGAAGTCTTCATTCTCTCTGGAAGAAACAAAATAATAATAATGGCTAAACTGAGACAGTCCTATTTTGGGCACTTTTTCTCTGGAAAAGGATGATACTGTGAAAGGCAGAAGCAGCAGGGAAAGAGGAAGAGCAAATGTGAGATGGATTGACCCAAGTAAAAGAACCACAGGCTGGAGTTTGCAAGACCTGAGAAACACGTATGATGGTTGTTAAGTGCTGCAAAGACACCCCCAACTTAGTAATAAGCAATCTCCGAAATGTTCTGTTCTCAACTGCCTGGCTCAGCTCTTGCAAATGCAAACCTGTGGCTTCCTTGATGGAGTCGGTGCATCTCGTATTATAGGGTCTTCCTCTTTTCCTGCTGCCTTCCACCTATCCCAGCATGATGCTCTTTTCTAGAGAACCCAGTCTTCTCATCCTGGACCTAAGGGAATTTTTTTTTGTCCTGAGCTGCACTGTGATGTTGTGGGTTTGAGTGCCTGCCTGCATTTCCTTATATCACCTGAAAACGAAAGGGAGTAGAAACCTGATTCCTTTCTTCAGAAAGAGCTTAGACAATAGGACTATAAACAGCCCAAATCCCCAAACTAGGAAAATTCCGAGATTTGTAGTTAAAAAAAATTACATAGTGCTTTCAAGCTCTTTCCAAGCCCTTCCTGTCTGTCTGGAAGAGCTGGCAAGAAAACTTGGTGCTAGATACCTGATCTGGGGGCCCGATCCATCCCCAGTCAGTTGCACCGAGGGACCGTGTACAATCCTGGCACCACGCAAGCCGGATGGGGTCCTTCCCTTAAACCTTCCGCATTACAGATCCTCTTGCATCTAGAGTGGCCGCCCGACCTTTTGGGGCACAAAACCAGAGGCTCTCGATACTCTGCTCCTGTACCAGCCACATCCTGTTGTTCTCTTGGTTTTGTTTTCTTAAAAGAGGATGATTGTCTCAGCTCAGCGAAGGGTGGGCTGCGGGGGAATTACCAGCGGAAATAGGTCAGCCACGGAAAGTACCCAAAACTTATCTCGAGTTTCAGCATGCTGTGGAAGTGGCAGGCCTACACACACATACACGTTCTCCGGGAGTCATTCACACTGAACTCTTGGGGGGAGATTTCTTTGCAAGGGACGGATGGAGACCTTCTCTTCTCTTTGGACTTTTGCCCTAAAGATTTGAACGAAAGAAGGTGGCCCACCCTGTGTGCCAATCAATGCCCGCTCGGTAGCAAAATGTGGGCCACCCGGAACGTCATAGCAAATGCATTCTTTCTGGGGGAATAGAAATTCTCCAGCAACTTCGCCCGGTTCTTTGACATCCCAACTCTGGGAAGGCGTTGAATGGGCTCATTTCCTTTTCCTTGTCAATACAGTGGTGCCTCGCTAGGCGATGATAATCCGTTCCACTGAAATCGCTGTTTAGCGAAATCATTGTCTAGCGAAAAGCATTTCCCCATTGGAATGTATTGAAACCTGTTTAATGCGTTCCAACGGGGAAGATGGGCTTAGATAAGGGGGACTCATCCAGAGGTGCAACGGGCACCCTCTCCGGAGCAAAGGGACATCCTGTAGGGTGAGGAGAAGAGGGAATCTCAAACCCCAGAGGCCAAATCTCATCCTTTTAAGGTTTCAGCCGGGCTCCCCTGGAGTTCCTCTGATGCTCGAGCCTCACGTCCTGAAATATTGGTGGTGTCTCAGATTTTTCTCAACGTCTTTTTCCATTCTGAAAAAAAAGCGATCACAAAAAGCCAATGTCTAGCGAAAAAACTGCTTCATGCGGGGTAACTGTCTAGCAAGGCACCACTGTATCAGCAACATCTCCCACTCTGATGGCCGCTGGGTCATTCACTAGCCTGACATTCTCCACCACCACCTCCAAAAATATATGAGTTCGCACAGCCTCTGAGATTTGGCTTAGGTCTAAATCCTGCCTTAACGGGACACATGATGTGATATGAGAAAAGACCTTTGCAGGAGCTGGGGAAAGATGGGCTTAGAGAAGGGGAACTCATCCAGAGATGCAACGGGCACCCTCTCCTGAGCAAGGGGACATCCTGTAGGATGAGGAGAAGAGGGAATCTCAAACCCCAGGGGCCAAATCTCATCCTTTTAAGGTCTCAGCCAGGCTGTCCTGGAGTTCCTCTGATGCTCGAGCCTCACGTCCTGAAATATTGGTGGTGTCTCAGATTTTTCTCAACGTCTTTTTCCATTCTGAAAAAAAAAAAGCAAAGGGAGTCTTACCTGAAACCTCAGCCGCCAGAAGCGAGAGCCTTAAGCGTTTTCAGTTGCACGCCAAGGCCCCACCTGCCCCTAAAACGTGCATATTGGTGGTGTCTCAGATTTTTCTCAACATCTTTTTCCATTCTGAAAAAAAGCAAAGGGAGCCTTACCTGAAAGGTCAGCCACCGGAAACGAGAGTCTTAAGCGTGTTCAGTCGTACGCCAAGGCCCCGCCTGCCCCTAAAACGTGACACGTGTGGGGAACAACTGAGTCACAGACACCTCCTACAGAAGTGGAACAAAACCGTCCATTCTGAGTGAAAGATGCAATGAGGAACCAAAGTCAAAAGCAAGCGGTTGCGACATGCAGAGATGCAGCGGGCAACCTCCTTTCAGGATACACGATCCTTTTGATTTTGGCATAACTTGCCACTCATGTCGAGAATGACTGTCCGGCGGCCACCGGAGAAGGCAGAAGTTGCTTCTTTTTGGACGACACGTTCCCAGGACACCACGATCCATTACTGGCTCTGAAAGCTTGTTGTTGCTGTTACGTGCCATCAAATCCGACTTACGACAACCCTATGAACGAGGGCTCTCCACAACGTCCTATCATTAACAGGCCTGCTTCAGCTCTTGCAAAGTCAAACCGGTGGATTCTTTAATAGAGTCAATCCATCACATGGGCCCCGCCTGCCCCTAAAACGTGACACGTGTGGGGAACAACTGAGTCACAGACACCTCCTACAGAAGTGGAACAAAACCGTCCATTCTGAGCGAAAGGTGCAAAGAGGTGCCAAAGTCCAAAGCAAGCGGTCGCGACATGCAGAGATGTAGCGGGCAACCTCCTTTGAGGATACACGATCCTTTTGATTTCGGCATAACTTGCCACTCATGTCGAGAATGACTGTCCGGCGGCCACTGGAGAAGGCAGAGGTTGCTTCTTTTTGGACGACACGTTCCCAGGACACCACGATCCATTACTGGCTCTGAAAGCTTGTTGTTGCTGTTACGTGCCATCGAATCCGACTTACGACAACCCTATGAACGGGGGCTCTCCACAACATCCTATCATTAACAGGCCTGCTTCAGCTCTTGCAAAGTCAATCCGGTGGCTTCTTTAATAGAGTCAATCCATCACACGTTGGGTCTTCCTCTTTTCCTGCTGCCTCCCACCTTTCCCAGCACGATGAGAGAATCCGGCCTTCTCAGGATGTGCCCAAAGCAGGATAGCCTCAGATTCATGTGCCCCCAGAAAAGCTTGATTCGATCTAGGATCCACTTGTTCATCTTTCTGGCAGTCCAGGGTATCCCTCAAAAGCTCTCCTCCAGCACCGCATTTCAAACAAATCAATTTTTCTCCCCCTTGCCAGCTTTCTTCACTGCCCCAGCTGTGGAGGCCAGCAGCCAAATATGACTCCCGTCACCAACAGCTAGACTACAGCAACGCTTTGTCCATCTCTCGTGAGTCACGCAAGGAGATTACTCACTGCCAGGCGAGTCAGACCATCTTTGGCTCCTGTAGGGAAAAGTTCTCAGCTTGGGAGGCCAGTAGATGGCCTTGGCCCCACGATGCCCAATGAGGTGTGGTCAACCATTGAATACCCAACGGGGGCTATTTATGGTCTCAGGAAGCCAGCCTGGGAAACCGATTCATTTCAAAAGAATTTTTAGTCAGTAAAGGAGCACACAAAAAAGAAGAAAATTATATCTATGGCTCACAGAGTATCAGACTCCAGGGACAGAAATTAGGAGTTTAAGGATTATTATCATGCTATCAAGGCGTATTGCCACCAAACAAGCTTCTTCCAGCCCTATTCATTCACGATCTTTTTATTACTTATGCGGCAGAAGAGTAAGAAAGCCTCTTCTAAGGGAAAAGCTTGTTTCCTCCTTTTTTTGCAAAGCACCTTCCCTAAAGAATCGTCCTCGCCATCACGTGCCACCAAGTCAGTGATAACGGCGACTCTCTTTGGGGGGGTTTTCAGGTAGAGAGAAGGCTCAGAAGCAGTTTCCCTTTCCCTTCTTCGCGTGGCGGGGGGGTCATCCTTGGGGTGTGCAGCTGGCCCAAGACCACCCAGGCTGGCTTTTCTCCCAGGAAGCTGGAATTGACCTCCAGATACCTCCACCCCCTGTGCTATCCAGCCATTTAAAAATGGCAAAGAGGCATGAAATGAACTGGACCAGATCAGTAATCAGGTTGTGACAGTCAATTTCACTTCCGTGGAAAGCGTGGGGGTCACTCCCAGAGTGAATCTATTATACACATATACCATGGCACCTGAGCATACTCACTGGGGCACTTTCTCATAGGGGTTTCCCCTCTTCTAAAGCTTTCTTGGACTTATGCAAAACTTTGGGTTTTCCCCCACGCCTGTGCATACTTCTTGCCGCACATGATGGCCTTTGAGCCAATTGAACCGTGGCTGTTTTCAGCTTCAAAACTGAAAGTAGAAAGAACCGGAAGCAGCACTGAGAAAATGGATGAGGATCATGTCAAATCTGTTTTGACTTACGAAGGCCCCTTTTCAGGGTTTGCTGTAGAGAATACTTAGAAGTGATGTACCATTCCCTTCTTCTGGGGTGCCTTGGGACTGTGCAGCTTGCCCAAGGCTACCCAGACGCTGAGCTATCCAAGCAGTTAGAAGGCATTTTTTTTCCCCTTTAGTCTCAGAGGTTGAGGTCATGGGTCTCTTCAGAGGAAGCAAGCTCAAAGGATGTCCAATGCAGGCAAAACGGCAGCTGTCTTCTTACCACAACTCACGTATGGCTTTTGTGCTGTAAGATAAGATGCTGGCAGGTGAGGGGGAATTTATTCCAGGTGGTAGAGAAAGGTATGAGCTTGATTCTAGATTGCAACTCCCGTCGGCTAGGCCAGCTGAAGTTGATGGATGCTGCCGTCCAAAAGATTCTAGACAGAAAAAAACCAAGTGAGCATTTTCTGGAAAGAATGTCACATTGATCTGTTTGCTCTTTTTTTTAAAAAAAGTGTTCCATAATTATGATAAAACTGCTATCCTGATCTTCTACAAGAGGCGAGATTATGCAATTAGCATCAATTATTGGACTGTTGTTGTTGATTAGTCGTTAAGTCATGTCTGACTCTTCAAATCTGTTTTGACTTATGAAGGCCCTTTTTCAGGGTTTTCCATGTAGAGAATACTTAGAAGTGATGTAATCCCGATCTTTTACAAGAGGGAAGATTATGCAATTAGCATCAATTATTGGACTGTTGTTGTTGTTTAGTCGTTAAATTGTGTCTGACTGCTGGTCGCTTCGGTGACACTGTCCAACCATCTCATCCTCTGTCATTCCCTTACGTACACAGTTTTCCAACATCAGGGTCTTTTCCAGAGAGTCTTCTCTTCTCATGAGATGGCCAAAGTACTGGAGCCTCAGCTGCAGGATCTGTCCTTCCAGTGAGCACTCAGGGTTGATTTCCTTCAGAACGGATAGGTTTGTTCTCCTTGCAGTCCAGGGGACTCTCAAGAGCCTCCTCCAGCACCACAATTCAAAAGCATCCATTCTTTGGCAGTCGGCCCTCTTAATGGTCCAGCTCTCACTTCCATACATTGCTACTGGAAAAACCATATCGGACTGTATCTCCCTTTATTTACACCTATGCAAAAATTATAAATGCATGTATTCACAGGGAATATGTGAAAGGGCTTATTTTCTATCCTGACCAGTGAAAATCTTTTCCAGCCTTCTCTCCGGCAGCTAAGATTTTACCAGGCATATTAGATCAGGGAAGAGTTAATGCAGAGATAATGGTTAAATGGGATGATAGAGAAGCTAAAAAATGGGAAGATGGAAACCAGCATATATAGACATAAACACATAACAGATATTAAAAGACAAAGTTATCTGGATGAAAGTGGATAGCTTTTATTTGTGAGCAGAGTCACTAGCAGATACAAGAAAGATGGGTTCTGGTTCAATTTTCTAACCTGTAAACCTCCTGTACATAAATACTGCAACTTGTCTGATATAAACGTTTCTGTTTTCCAGGGTTATGTAATGCAGACAGTAACTATTTGACTGTTCCAATCTTTTGGACGGCACTTGACACAGTTCTTTACAACAGGATCCGTTCTCAATCATCCCAGAGTGTAGGGCACACGATAATGGCTCAAGCCACAGGAAGCCAGATTTAGGCTGAATATCAGGAAAAACTTCTCAACTGTTAGAGCAGTACGACAATGGGACCCATGACCTCAGGAGGTGGTGAGCGCTCCAACGCTGGAAGCCTTCAAGAGAACACTGGACAGCCATCTGTCTGATCTCCTTTGATCTGGATTCCTGCATTGAGCAAGGGGTTGGGCTTGACGGTCTTAAAGGCCCCTTCCAACTTAATAATTCTATGAAGTTCAAAAAAATATATATATCTAAAGAACCAAAGATTCCCACCACCCTGATTCAAGGCATGCAGTCCTTTCTCTCCATTCCTTACATTTCATCTTACTGTTCTAAAGGCCTTCTTTGCTCATCTTATAACTAATGTCTAGATTAAAAAAGGCTAAAATTCACAGGTTTGGATGCAGGAAAAAGGGGGTTTCTATGTGGGCGAGGCCCCTATGAATTCTTCGGGAGGTCTGGAAGAACTGCACGGGACGATGTTGGTAGGAAGCATTGTCAAAGCGGTCCGTTGACTATCTGCAAGAGTCTTCCGGGATCTTAGCAGCCGTTAAGAAGGAGATCGTCAGCAAATTCTTCCAATGATTCTGAGAAAGCTTGACAGGAATCACACGGCAAGTGTTCAGAAGGCCACCATTCTATCCACGTCATTGCATCCAAAGGATACTGGTACCTAGGAAGGCATGGACATAAATGCCATTTTAAAAGACAAAACAGGTGAGGGAACAGGCCCGTCTTAAGGTTGTGCCCCAGCGCCAGCCAAAGTCTGCTTTACTAATTGCACAGACTGGATTCAGACCTATTCACATGAGGTCCAGAGTGCAGCAAAATGGCCAGATTTTTTTTTTCTGGGGCAAATTCAGACCAAATGTCCATTATCAGTTCTGATCTGAGACATTACTCATTTTAGAAGGCAAGGGCTTTCTTTTCAAGTAGAAGATGATCTGTGAATTTCACCCAGGCTTTAGAACAGAAGCGGGCATGTTTGATGAGACGGGTGGGGGCCGTCCTGCCCTCGAGCATGAAAAAGCCACAATCACAGCACACTCAAATGAATGGGGCCCTGCTTACCGGGCGTTGGCACCCTCTCCCATCTTCAAGGCCTCTTTCCCCATAATCAGGTAATTCTCCCTTGGATTAAGCTGGACGTCAGTGCATGAATATTTCTTAATAAAGGTGATTTCGTCGTTCTTCTTGGCAAACGTTACACCTGGAAGGGAATGGAGCACAGTGAAGAGAGGGGCCAGCAGCCTGGCTGAAGTGGCCACTTCCGAGAGTGACCAGCATCCAGTGACCGATTCTTTCCTTCCTCCCACCATCCCAAATCAACCTGGTAAGCCCACCCACAGATGATGCAGTCAGAGGAAAGGGGACCCAAGTTTGAGAACCACTGGTCTAGAGCAAATTCTACTCCTCTAGCTATCATCTAAGACCCTGTAAGGGCAATGGTCAGTGCAGGTCCCACTGATTTCAGGGGGGCTTGCTCTAAGCACAACTATGTCTGGACCCCACCCCATATCGTTTTGGATAGAGCTAGCCGTCACCTGTTTTAAAGAGATCCAGAAGAATGGCAGTATATTTAACAAAGCTTCCTTCTGTCTTGGAGGAAAGGATGTTGACTTTGTAAACTAGAGAGGGTAGAAAACAAATGAATAAAAAAAACCAGTATCAACAGTAACAACAACTGTAATGACTGCTTCCGGAGAAGTTATTTTCTTGAATATATTCACAATGTCGGCTCATGGGAGAGATACAGCTCTACTTCTCAGAGCTGTGGTGGTGCTCATATAAGGCGTTTCTGGGCCCACCCCAGCGTCCCGCTGTTATTGACTGCTATGACATCGGAGAGCTAGCAGGTTCCAATAAAGGAGACAGCATTCATATGTATGCAGAGCTTAGAAACAGCGGCCAGGATTCTATCACTTGTATGAAGTGGCACAAGTAAAATGGCACAAATCTCAGCAGTGCATTGCCACTGTTTCAGGAGTCAGTGCTTGTATTCCTTGTCATGTCCCAGTTGTGTGACTTAGCACAAGACAAGGAATGTAAGCGTCGACTGCTGAGTGAGAGGGCAGTTTGCTGCTGAGATTCACATCATTTGACTTTGGCTACTATAGGTAAATTATAGGAATCTGGCCAAGTTGTTAGCAATAATATACTTCCGATTGATTCTCTTTTTTTTAAAGTAACATGTTCCAAAGATAAAGTGGAAAGGGAAGGACCACAGACATCACCTTGAAATCATGGAAACAAGATGGAAAACAAGTGTAATGAACAATCAATCAAGGAAAAGAGATACCGAATCTGGGAGGGACAACTTATTCTAGGATGGGCAGTTATAGGGGATAAGAATATCGATATACTGCCCAAAGTTATTTTTTCCTTTCCTAAAGAGCTGCCCTCCTAAGAGGCCTCCAAAGGGTCTCTGAACAGTACTTGGATGTCTCAAATCAAAGTGTTTCTTTTTTACATTTCCTAAATGGGATGGGACTGCCATCAGCCGTCAAAATGCCCTTCATCACCAGCGGGCAACTCCATCACTCTCCAGATGTGATTGCTCTGCAGCTCCCCAAATTCCTCCGCATGGGCGACACCAGCCAGGAGTGACAGATGTTGCCAACCAACAACATCTGGAGAAATCCCCTGCACCTCGCCTTCCTATGCCCTAGTTCCGTGGCTCGCCAGATGTTCTTGGACTAAAACTCCCAGAAGACTTCACTACTCGCTGTGCTGGCCAGGGTTTCTGGGAGTTGTAGTCCAAGCACATCTGGGGACCGAAGGCTGGAAACCACTGCCCTAGCTGAACTTTGGGCTTTGCCAGAGCTGCCTGAGAGCTCTCCAAGGTCCTGAAACATCTACCACGTTTCCCTGAAAATAAGACAGGGTCTTGTACCTTACCATATGCAATGGGATTCTGGCATGCGGCTTCCTTTCGAACCTCAATGCTGATGGACTTATCCAGTCTGGCCTGCATGCGCCCACATTCCGCTGGGGAGAAATGGAGGATCAAGATAAATTTTTAAAAAATTCTGCTTCTGGAGAGACTCGAGATAGTGCCGTGACTTAAGCAAGGGAGACCCGAGTTCAAATCCTTGCACACTGTCTGAGCCCAGTTCCTCTTTTAGAAGGTCTTTCAGAGGAGGAGCAAAAGAAAACATGATTTAATTCTTTTTAAAAGAATTTGCAAACCTAGATTCCTAATAGGGGAAAAAAGGAAAGTAAACCCTTACATAGAATATAACAAAACATAAAGTTATAACCCCAACAGAAGAATCATGATCAGACGGGGCATATGATATAAATTAAGATGAAACATATTGATGAGAATATATATATACATATGAATTTATATTCCCAATGGTGGTGGGTAACACTGTATCTTTGACCTCAACGGCGGATTTGAAATACCTGGCTGCATCTGCTCCAAGTCAAGGCACACTTTGAAGGAAGACTGCCAAGTCATCTCCATCTGTCATATTTAAATGCCTCAGACTTTCTACATTTGTATGTGGCTGGATGCCTTTCAATGCAATCTTCTGGGCACTTGGGTCAATCCCTTAGGAACCGTGACAAGCAAGAGCACCGCGAATTATCCCAAATAATAATAATTTTTTTAAAAAAAGAATTTGCAAAGTCATCTGTATAGGCAGCCCTGTTGAAATAATCAAATTAACACCGTCTGCCGCTCAGCCTCAGTGGCCGCAGAGCAGGAACTGTGTTTCTCAAAATAGGTCCGGAATTTTGGATAACCCCTTTTTAAGTTCAAGTGTAACTCGAATTGCGGTGTGGTTACTTCTCAGTGAATGCGTTTACCTTCCAAGCATTTACACTCAGCGCCTTCACACAGCCTTACAAGGGACTCTTCTCCGTAAGGATTGTAAAACATAGAACACTGTTTCTCTGCGGAAGAGAAAAGAGAGGAAAGCGCTTAGAAAGCTACGGGCTGGCTTTCTGACATGCCAGGCCTAGCGGAGAATGCCAACAAAACAGCTGGCCTTACCTGGGGTGTGATATTCATACACAGTAAAGGTTCCTGGGCTTGGCATGTGAACACGGAACATTTCGACTAATTGGAAGCCGATGCATAGGAAATCCCGGGCTGGGATCTATAGAGGGAAAGCAAAAAAGTAGATGAGCAGGCAATTTGGGGGGGGGCTCTTCCCACTTTCTTGCCTTCATAGGATCCTCGCTGGGGCATGGAGGATTTTGAAAAAACCAGGCCATTTTACAGTGGTGCCTCACTAGACGATGATAATCCGTTCCACTGAAATCACTGTTTAGCGAAATCATTGTCTAGCAAAAAGCATTTCCCCATTGGAATGCATTGAAACCTGTTTAATGTGTTCCAATGGGGAAGAATCATCGTTGTCTAGCGAAGATCGGCAATAGGAAAGCCGCTTTGCTATCTAGTCTGCCCACTAAGTCTTTTCCCTTTTACTTAAATATATATAACTAGATTGTGTGATCTGTCAATTATGAATTGCTCAACTGTCATTTGACCGGTGACGGTTATCATGTGAAATCCCGGCTGTTTGTACGTCACCCTAGAGAGCGCCTGTTCACTATAGGGCGGGATAGGAATGTAATAAATAAGTCGGCAAAATGGGATACACCTTGAATACATTTCGGAGGTAAAGGACACAAGGAACGTACCGAATCCAATTGCACTAATACATGTCCGTCTGTGATCTCGTAGCCGGAAATCAGCCTGTCATCGTTATTCAGAAGCTGAGAGGAGGGAAAGGGAAGGATGATTAGAGTGTGAGAATTGACTCGCTAATTTTGGACGCGATGAAATGGAGCAGAACGGTTGTGCCCATCGAGAGCAGAACTGGAGGGGAAAAGCGGGTTGTCAAACTGTTGATGGAAATGGAGTCGAAGCTTTTTTTTCTGAAAGTTGGGTTAAACCTTTCTAACCTTAGCCAAGCTAATTCTAGGTTTAATGGAGGAATAGGGATATGGCGTGGTGGGGATCCCCCTCTGGATCTTCTCTGTTCCCTGACACCACAGTGTGACGTTTTCCTACTTTTGTACAAGTTATTTCCATGAAATGGAGCAGAACGGTTGTGCCCATCAAGAGCAGAACCCTGGGGGAAAAGCGGGTTGTCAAACTGCCGATGGAAATGGAGTCGAAGCTTTTTTCTGAAAGTTGGGTTAAACCATTCTAAACTTAGCCAAATTAATTCTAGGTTTAATGGAGGGATAGGGGTGTGGCGTGGTGGGGATCCTGCTCTGGACCTTCTCTGTCTCCCAACACCATGATGTGACATTTTCCTGCTTTTCTACAAGTTATTTCTGCTTTCTAATAAGCGCGAATGTTCTCCTCGTATTTTTTTAAAAACTCCGTCTTTCATGTTCAGCCTCCAAAACTGCTCGGAGAATTTCTTCAGAGTGTGCCAAGAGCGATTCTGAAATTTCGTTTGGTCCTCCCAACTGAGAGAAGTCACCCACTCGAGGTTCAAGGGATTCGTTCTTTGCAAATTCGGACAGGATCAGGCCTGGCCCATAACTCCATTGATGAGCGTATGGCCCAGAGGTCTGTCATGCCACAGATTCTCCAGTGGTGTGAATTTCGCAAAGCTACTTTTGCTTCTGGGGATGGTCGGATCCTTATTCTCCAAAGCGGCGAGGCCACCAAGGACAAATGATCCTAGAATCCTAGATTTGTAAGGGGGCCTCAAGGCAGGCACATCCAAGTTGAGGCAGGTCAGACAGAAGGTGGCCCAAATATTCTCTTGAAGGCCTCTTGGATTAGGTTGGTTTGCTTAAACATGTAGGTCAAACACCAACCAACTCACCCCCTTGCCCCGCCCAACACAACCCTAGAGATAACCCATCTTACGATTGATAAATCTTCCGTGTTGGCCTCCAGTCCAGTGGCAAGGGAGATGTCCATGACGGCGTGGGAGGAGGCAGAGTGTGGCTCAAACCTACGAGGCTTGTACCTACATGGGGGTTAAAGATTAAACGGGATGATGGTTTACGGAGTCCACCTGAGAACATCTCCCTTCATTTACAAGTTCTGTAAATCCTCAGGGGAGCCTTTCTCTTAGTTCTACCACCTTCACAGGTGCGTTTCTCGGCTGCTGCTCCTAGACTCTGGAACTCCCTACCACTCCCTACCATATTTAAGGAGTGGTTTTACCAATTCCACCCCCCCATGGGTTTTTATGGACAACAGTGGATTCAAACCCGGTTCTCCAGAATCCCAGTCCACCACTCTATCCATGACACCACACTGGGAATCCCATGCTATATACACGGTTCACTATAGAAATACATCGTTCCAAGGTGTTATTACCAGAACTGGCCACTAGAGAGAGCCAGAGTCCATGCTAAGCATGGGGTTTGCTATTATCCACGGTTTTCAGCATCCACAGGGGTTTTTGGAATGGATCCCCCACAGACACAAGGATCCCACTATATGAACAAATCTAAGATGAAGCGCTTGCCCCTCTGATTTGAGTTTTTAGTGAGCGGCACATGGGGACATCCTCACTTTTATCTAGACTTACTTGGCACAAGCTACCAAGTGTCTGACTTCACTGTAGGTCCTGAAGTAAAGGTCTCTTCCACCGTCGTCCGTTTCTGCAGAAGCAACGTACAAAATGGTTCATACAGATATTCAAAACCAGCTGCCCAGGAGATAGCTAGACTGAGGCGTAAGAAAACATCCCAGCAGGTCCAGCTTTAACCTTTAAGAAAAAAGGAAACTATGACTTCCTCACCGGACTTCACATCAATCTTCAGCTCAAAGCTGCAAGTGTCTTCGGAGGTACTGCTCTTGTAATACACGTTCCTCAGCTACACAGGGACAAAAGAGATAAAATTGAAAAACAAAAAAAGAAGTCCAATGACATTTCCAAAAAGTTTGAAGGATCTTGATTCGCTGGCTACCAGCATTGACGGATGATGGGGCTAAGAGCTCTTTGGCCTCCAGAGGTTTTTAACCACCGTTCTCATCAGCCCCACCCCAGTAGGGTCAAGGGATAATGAATACGATAGTGGATTATCATCTGGAAAACTCAGCGTAGCCCATCCTTTCAAGCTGTTGGGACAAGAAGCTTTGTTCACTTACGTTCACAATGGCTAATCCGGTGTTACTGCCCGTGCGTACTTCTAGGTCATCATCCAAAGGAACCTGATTGTGCAGAGAGAAAGAGAGAGAGAGAAAACAGACACGGACTCAAAAATCACTTGAGGCTCTGATACAAAACAACCGTTGCATTATTCCTGAAGGCTTTACCTTCAGGAATCCCAAAACGGACCTTTCTTTTTATTTGGACTACAAGTCCCAAAATCCCCAGTTATTCATGATCGCTTCCTATTCCATAATAATCCGCCCACTCACTTCCACTGGCTTGCTGATGTAATTTTTCCTCGTCAGCCGGTAGTGATGAAAATCGCCGTGCGTCTTGTAGGCCACTTTGATGCTCATGTCCAGCACCAGCCGCTTGACAAGAATGGAATATTCCGTCAGGGACTCCAGCGCGTTGATCGTATCCTGTTCATCCAGCCAGGAGAATGAATGAGACATGAATGGATGGCAAGGCTGACCCTTTGGATGCACAGATCTCACCTGATCATCGCTGACAGATGGGACTGGATTTGGTCAGCATTGAGATGGGAGATCCCACAAGTAATCTTTTGGGGGTCCCCAGTAAGGAAGAGGATAGAGTCTGAAATACCCCCCAAACTGGCTGCCATTCAGAGACAACAATACTGAGCTAGCATGGCCAATGATCTGATTCATTCTAAGACCTCTCTGTTCCTTAACTAGAAGATGTGAGTTGGGGGCCAAGTTTGTCTAATGTTATCTGTTTTTATCCTATTTTTATTTTATTTTTCATTTGATTGGTTTTATACGTCCCCTTTCTCCCCATAGGGGACCCAAGGCAGCTTACAACAAGCAAAGTCACAAAATAATAACAGGTTAAAAATGCCACGCAAGACTATATATTAAAATAAATTAAACATCGGCTAGGATTAAAAACCATTTTTAAAACTTTTAAAAATACACTATATCTAAATTTCACCCAATAGAGCATTCCCTGGGCACTTATCGCTTAAAAGCCTTCTCTGACTCTACAATGGCTTATTTCATGTTGTTTCCATGATATTTCTTGATTTTCATGGATAGATGGATGGATGGATACCTAGACAGGTAGACAGGTAGACAGGTAGGTAGGCAGGCAGGCAGGCAGGTAGGTAGGTAGGAAGGAAGGAAGGAAGGAAGGAAGGAAGGAAGGAAGGAAGATGGATATAGTCTTTCTGTTTTTATTCTCTTGAATATTTTATCTGCTCATGTCTGAAGCAACCATTTCTCTAGAGGCAAAAAAAGAGACCTCCGGCCATAGTTCCAAAGGGTGGCCAACTTCACAGGAAAAAGCCTCTTCTTCCAAGTATGACCGCTCTGGGTCTGGGGGAACTCAAGACAAGGGCGTACCTGCGTGGAATAAAACCCGCCGCCGTATCTCTGCTGTTCAGACAACCATCTCATGATGGGGTTCGCATAGTCTTGATCTCCCCGCAGCAGAGTGGTGAGCAAGGCGTAGGCCGTGGTCTCCACCATCCGGGCGGTGTTCTCAGAAGGCGTGCTCGAGTCGACTTGCATGGAAGCTTCTTTCCAAAAACGATATATCGGCGGTCCAGCTAGGAGGACAGGAAATGGGAGTTAGCCATAGCAAGGCAAAGCAGAGCTGTCCCCGGGGACGGTAGAAGCAAAAGACAGACGGGGCCGGTCCCATCCTTGGGCCGTGGCAGGCAACTGCCTCGGGCGGCAGATGCGCTAGGGCAGCCTGCCCACCCCCCCTGGCTGCAACCCTCCGCTGACCGCACCGTCCAGTCTGAGCTCCCGATTTACTTTTTATGAAAGCTTCCTTCTTCAGCGAGTTGTAGGCCGCTCGTGCGTTTGGGTGGTTCATTCTGGTCAGCGCGAGCGCATAAGTAACGATGGCCAAGGTAAAAGTGCTCTGGACCGAGTTGACGTTCTTCAGCAAATAATCTACAGCTTTGTTTTTAGCTTCTTCGACTTTCTGCCAAAGGAGAACGGAAAACGGTTGGTTTTGCTTCTTTGTTTTAAGTCCCACTCGTCCGTGCAAGAGCTCAAGGCCCGGTTTCTTCCTCTTTTGCCCCAGTCCGGTTTTGTCTTCCTAACAACCCTGTTAGGTAGGCTGGCTGAGCCACAGATGCGGGAACCTCTAGCGTACAGGGGCTGTGCGTTGGGCCTCTAAAGGAAGGTTCGTACCCAAGTCTGCTAATTCAAGCGGAAGGATGTCTCTTTCCTCCGGATAAACCATTTCCCCATCTGCAAGGAGATTTCCCTCCATGATATGTGACTCAGGAGCAAACATAAAAACTACCGTAAGCCTGAATTCACTTTCAACAGCCAGTCACAAAACAAAGTGCTTACATAGTTGAGGAAAATAATGTGCTAGGAGAAACAGAGGCCGTTCCATGCTTGAGGGACTGCCACTTCTAGACAATCATGATACCTTCTGATTTGACCCCCAGTTTGCTTTTGTTTCCTGTCCTAGGTTTCAGTGGGAAAGGCAAGGCACAGATTAGTGGAGAACGGGGTCAGCCGGTCCCCGAATTCACTCCAGGTTTTAATCCGAACTTTACAAGAGGTGTTTCAGGTGCTGGACCTTATCTGTCAAATAGGGGCTCGGCATCTCCGAGAGCTCCTTCAAAGTTCAGACGAAAACCTGGAACGCATTCGCCGCCTCCCTTATCCCAGAGCCACCAGCCAGCTCTGTGTATACAAGAGGGAGTGGGTGGGTTTGACATTATGTGCAGATCAGTCAAAAAATGTACGGCAAGGTGTATGCTAAAGACAAGGCGAGAACAATTGCACTCACCAACAAGGGGCAGATATGAATCGACTTGGCAAATCCAATCAGGGAGAAGGCTGTGAGATACAAAGTATTTTCCTTCTGCTCTTTAGGCAGCGTTCCCTTCGAAAAGATTTGTAAATGTCGCCGTTAGGAATAGATTCACAGTCATGTGAAAAAGAAAGTACACTCTCTTCGAATTCTATGGTTTTACGTATCAGGACATAATAAAGATCAACTGGTCCTTAGCAGGTCTGAAAAGCAGGTAAAGGCAAGCTCAGAGGAACAACAACTTGTGATCTATTACACCGTGTCATGATTTATTTTATAAAAATAAAGCCAAAATAAATAAGCTATGTGGGAACAAGTAAGCACACCCTCACTGCTTCCATGGGAATTATGAGGCCAAGTAGCAGCCAAATGCCCTTGAGTCACTGATCATCAGTAAGTGTGACCACCTCTATAAAAGCTGAAGTTTTAGCAGTTTGCTGGTAACACTTAGATGTGTGTTAACACACTGCCAAGGAGGAAAAACAAGTTTTAGCAGTTTGCTGGTCTGGAACACTTAGATGTGTGTTCACACACTGCCAAGGAGGAAAAACGTAAGCAATGATTGTAGAGAAGCAATTGTTTCTGCAAAGGGTTACAATGCCATTTCCAAGCAATTTAAAGTCGACCATTCTACACCGAGGAAGATTATTCACAAGTGGAAAACATTCAAGACAGTTATGAAATGAAATGCACTTTTTCCATGTGTTTGAAGAAGCGGAGGTGATCCACATGTTTTATCTTGTTTTGATTTGTTTCTTTGGATTATTACCTGATATGTTTGCACAGACTAACATGGCTACCTCTTCTAAATAAATGTGCAAGTTTTTTATTGCGGGGTTTTTCACCTCCAGATTGACCTATGGACTTTTTATTTACTACGCGTTGAAATTCAATGGCTAGTTTCCTTACCTGTAGTTTTACTGGCGTGTAAGTGGAAACCTCCCGGAAAGACCCATCATCCATTTGACACATGTCAATCATCCACGTCAGGGTATTACACAAAGAATTCTGATTCACAGGTGTGTATCGGTGGACTTGTCCAAAAATCCGTAGGGCGAAAGCCGTCAACCTGCCGTGTAACACAGAGCACAATTGTGACTATTTCTTCCAGAAACTGTCCCTTGAGTCAGTTTTCAAGTGGATTTTTCGCTCAGGATTGGAGATGCCAAGAAAACCGGAAAAGCCAAATGCCTTGGGGAAGAGGAGTCAAAGATCCCATGTCTTTAAAAAATGGATGCGTGGATGGTGAAATCTGTCTCTCCGCTAGTATAATTGTGGAAAAATCGGATGTGTGGACACTGGACAAGGCAATTATGCTAGGAAAAATGGAAGGCAGCAGGAAAAGAGGGAGACCTAATGTGAGATGGGCTGGCTCTATAAAGGAAGCCATGGGCCTGAGATAGCAAGACCTGAACAAGGCTGTTAACAACAACATATTTTTGGGTCACTAATTCATGGGGCGTCCCTAAGTCAGAAACGACCTGACAGCACAACACACCAACTCTAGAATGTCATGCCGCTTGGAAAAATGGAATAACATTCACAGTATCATCCAGAAGAAAGCCCGGATGAAGTGGTGGTCATTTCAGGAAATCAGATCTGAATATTATTTTTAAAAAAACTGGGCTCACAGAGGTCTAAAACTCACCAGGTGCTGGAGTCCCCGTTTCTCCACATACTGAAGGAGAAGTCCGGTTTTTGGAAGGACAGGATGCTGATGATTCCTGGAAAAATCACATAAAGCCATGTTTCCCTTCTTAGCGTGCTTGGCACCACTGTGCCAAGACCGCCTTGTCTTAAGTTTAGATCATGTCTTCTTCCCTGGCTGGACTCTTTGGAGTCACGATTCTGTCTACCCTGGATCGTGACCATCGGCCTGTCCTTGGATTTTCAGAGATGAGAAATCTGCCCTGCCCTTTAGGAACACAGGAAAATCTGGCTTCTCCAGACCTACCTAGCCCAATAGCGCCAACACAGACTGGCAGCAACTCTTCAGAAATTCAGGAGAGGGTTTTCCCAGCCCTGCCTGAGGATGCTGGGGGGGGGGGTAGAACGTGGAACATTCAGCCTGCCTTCCATCTCTAGGATCCCTTTCCCCAACAAACCAAAGGGACCTGGTTCAATCCGCAGCCCATCCAGGCAGAAAGTCGCAGAACGTGGAACATTTGGCCTGCCTTCCATCTGTGGGATCCCTTTCCCCGACAAACCAAAGGGACCTGGTTCAATCCACAGCCCATCCAGGCAGAAAGTCTCCTAACGAGAGAACCCTAGGTGGCCAGCCCAGAAAGTCAACGCCGATGAGATGAAACGATGAGATGCATTTTCCAGTTGTATACCTTGTTCACATTTTTTTTCAAAAGGCGATCGAGGTTCTTGGACATTATCTAGTTTTATTCTCCCAGCCCTGGGCATGTATGGACGCACAGCATCTCAGAATGAATGTTTCCAATGAGAAACAGGACAAGGGGTGGCGGTGGTGTACCTTCTTTCATCTTCCTCATCATGTTAACGCTGGGCAGGATACTTCCTTGACCGAGGATGTGCCAGCTGTCCGTCCTTTCTAGGTAATCATACACGTAAAACAGAGGCACAATATTCATAAGTTCGGTTTCCGCACTCCCTCTGGGGAGGTTAGCGAGAAGCCTGAGGCCTTCCGGGTCAACGGCCGCATTGATCACATCGCCAAGAAGGAGTCCTGTGGTAGGGAAAAAAGGAGGGGGGGAAAAGATCAGGAAATCATGATTTTAGCAGGGTTAATATCAGAGGTGGGGATTAGGGACCGTCTTTTCGGTGCTGGCACTCAGACTATAAGAGACCCTTTGGTCTACAGAGCTTCTGGCAGCTACTGAGTATAACTCTCAAAATCCCTGGTCCAAAAAAAGAAGAACTTTTCCAAACTCTGAAATCTTACACACATATACTTGGTTGACAGGTTTTGTAAGCCTATACACGGCTTCCTGGGGGTAAACAACACTGAACTCGTTGTATTGCTTTACAAAAGGTACCCAGAGTCGTGCACTGGGTAGAATGATGTGGAGACCTGGGTTCGAATCCCTGCTCAGCTATGGAAACTCATTGGGGGTGAGGAACGGGTAAAACCACTCCTTAAACGTCACTTGCCTTGAAGATCCTATTAGGGTCACTATGGGTTGATTCCAACTTGATCGCACATACCTAACTAGGCATTTATAGAGATAAACTGTTTTACAGGTTACACAGTTTCACAAACCTTTTTCAGTGTTACACAGTTTCACACACATATGCTGTTTATCAAAACTTATTAAGTTACAGTTGTTGCCAACAGAGAGATGAGATTTGAGACTGTATCGATTTATATTTGTAAATAAATACGTAGCTAGAATCCTATTAAGATTTTACTCTGGAAGCCTACTGAGATTTTACTCTGTAGTAAGCAAAATCAGGGACGCTGGGTGTTGAATGGCAGCTAATTGAGCAAGGGCTGCCCTCCTGCTTGTCATGTGACTGACAGGCACCTAGGCACATGACCAGCACCTTCTTAATTAGCTGCCATTTTCTGCTGTGACTCATGGGATTTCATTTATTCTGGAGTAAAATCCCAACTGGATTCTTGCCAGTGACCTTAGATTTATAAATCCCGTGTTTCCCCCAAAAGAGTCTTAATTTTTGCTCCAAAAATGCATTAGGGTTTATTTTCAGGGTATGGTTTTTTTTTTCATGCACAACCATTTACATTTATTCAAATACAGTCATGTCATCTTCTGGTTGTTGCACAGTGGTGGAAGGTGGGGTTTCACTTCACTGGGGTTTATTTTGGGGGTAGGGCTTCTATGACGAGCATCCTGAAAAATCCTACTAGGGCTTATTTTTCAGGTTAGGTCTTATTTTCAGGGAGACAGCGTAAATAGAATGAAAACTGACCATAGGGTGAATATCTTCAAGATATTTAGATGTAAAGCAGAGGAGAATAAAGTACAGTTGGATTTCATCATCCGATGAGTTTTACCTTTGACCGTCACCGTTCTCTCCAGTTTTGTCTTTGGGACCATATTTATGGGCGTCCGGAGGGGAAATTCCACTTGCCTTTTCACCGCACCTGTGGTTCACAGGATACGTGAATGTAAATCACATTCCTGATGTTAGTACATAGTTTCTTCCACTCTAAAGTTAACGCGATAATATGTTACACTAATAGTCTTCAGTTATCGTCCCAGCCGGCACTGGGGCGGCTTCTTTTCTGAACAGGACGCTAGGCCTAGCTTAAGTCAGATTTGGCCTTCTGACTTAAGGCCTTTTCTCCAGGCGAGCCACATTGAGAGGTGTCTGTGAACTGTATAGCAAGTGGAACTCCAAGAATGGAGAATTATGAAACAAAAGTTGCAGATATATAGTCACATACCAGGGAGTGAGTCCCAAGGGTACATAAGCAGACTTGCGTAAGCAATGCACATGGAACTGTGCTGTAAATAAGTGCACAGTGGCCAGACAGCAAAAAGAGCAGGGCTTGTGCACCTTTAATTAACAGTGTAAAGGGGATTCCAGCAGGAATCACTGAGTTAAAGGGACAGGAGTGCTGTCTTCTTTGACATCCTCCTTTAGGACCAGTACTAAATTGTAAATATCTTATTCCCTCACCCCCATTTTTCTTCCTTTTTTCAATTATTTGCCCCCATGTAAAATGGAAGATTATCTTTGGGGCAGAACATTTTTTTTCTATATGTTTGGCAACCACAGTTCCTCACGAACCTTAAGTCCAGATCCAAGGAATAATGAAGCTTCAAAGTGGAATTTTAAAAGTCATATTGTAAAGCCTTTGACTGCATTTTTATTTTGCATTGCTTTGGAAGAGTTATATAAGAAGTTATATAGCTGGAAACAAAATACACCTGGAGACAGGACAGAATGGTTGGCCCAAATGCCCCCAAGTACATCCCCCGGTAACCCCCATAAGTATAGGTTTAGCATAATCTGGCTTTCTACCCCAAATAGGGACTGAAATTGGGGGTTCTTGGAAGCAGCCACGGATGAGGGCTAACTCCTGGATTAGTCGCTGTAGATAACTAATTTTCTTGCCCCTGAAATGAAGGAAAGGCTTAAAAAGGAAAGTTTCACATGCCATACCATAAACGCCTTGTGGGTCCAGTGTGTAACCCTCATATATTTCTTTTCGGATACCTTCAGGCTAAAACCAAGCATATGGGAGATTTAAAAACAGTTATGGCCATTCGGCTTATTTAAATCTTTGAAAGGCTTTTAAACATTCCTAGTTCTGCACACCTCACACAGTTCTGCTCTGGTAGTGGTTTAACGTTCTTCCTGGTGTCTGTTTTGTTTAAACTGAATCAATAGAACAAAACACTGAAATATCGCCAATAAAACAGTTCTAGGAGAGAGGAGCAAGAGGTTTCATGTTGCCCTTATGGGTCATAGATCTGACACTCCATGTTGTAGCTGCTGTTCAGACTGAGTCTCGGGAGATGTGTGTCCTAGTTTCCACTGACCCCTTGAACTGCAGGCCAACGATTGTCTTCTCTTTTTCTGAAGAAAGGCGGGCCGGTGTTAGTCTGTGCAAGCATCAGAGGTGAAAACAACCATCAAAATTAAAAGAATAAAAAAATGTGGTGGCACCTTAAAGATTCACTTTTATTTTTTTTTTTAATGTGAGCTTTCATGAACGAGACCACTTCATCCTACGCCTGATGAAGTGAACTTGCCCAAGGAAGCTCACATAAAGAAAAATATAAAAGTTAGGCTTTAAGGTACCACCACGTTTTTCGTCTTTTTTTTTACGCTTACTTTTTAATTTTTGTTTTCACCTATACGTTCTCTTTTTCCCATCTTTCGGTGTGCCTACTTTGCAGGGTGGCTGTGAGGATAATTGCGGTGTCCTCACCAGATCAAAGGCTGGATCGAACTAGAGCTAATCAAGACGTAACCCAGTTCTCTGTGAATTTGCACAGGATAATAATCAGCTCAGAAGGGCAGAGTTGGAAGGGACCCTCTGGATTATCGGGTCCAGCCCCAGTCAAGGAGGCCCACCAGGGGGGATTTGAACTCGCAATCAGAAGCCTCAACCCTTGGAGCTACCCAGGATGTTCCCATCCAACCCTGCCATGGATGGACAGCAGCTCAGGTAGGAAATTTCCCAGTCCCACCAGTAAGTCCCAAAGGTTGATCCTGGCATCTTTGGGGAGAAAAATCTGATGTTCTACCAATGAGTAATGCCTCCTCCTTTAAAAAAAAAAAGAATGTGGTGGTGCTGAGCTCCACATATTCTTTCGTTTCACCATCCTGGATCTACCGGTTTCACTGGATAACACCCCTGATTATACCATGCAAAGGGGGCAGTGGGGAAAACCCAATATACTCTTATAAATCATCATTTACTTCAGTTTGTGACAAAAGCTGTTGAGTCCAGGGGCTACGATCTAGAAAACCTATCTAGGGCGAGGCCCCCGGGGCTTTTAAAATTAAAATAATATTGGTTTAGCTCATCCCCTTCCCTCCATCTTCTCCGTGGGGGGAAGTAAATACTCAGATTGCTGGTGCTGCTAGCTGTAGGTGCTGGCTCCCGTCTTACCACAACTCTCAGCGTTTTCACTAAGACTTCGCTGCCAGCGGAGCTCTTCAGCGTGAAGTTGACGGTGTGGAGGCCCAGCTCCAGAGGAAGGATGGTGAACCGGACTTTGGTGATGGAGGAGCCGTGGAGGTCCTTGAAAGGGGAGCAGCTGGTCCGCTGCAGGCCTCGCGGGTCGCTCCTGGTCGCCCCGAAGAGGCAGATGCCTTTCTCCACACTTATGGACGTGCAAAACTAAAGCAGGGCACGAGAAAGTGCAACAGGAAAGCTTGGTCACACGTGAAGAGGCATCAGGGTCATTGTATAATTTTTCCCACGTATTTCACTGATACTCATTCCAGGGCAGAAATTTAGTGCTTCATGACAGCCATCTAGTTCTTTTTTTAAAAAAATGAGGAGAAAAAGACAGTCCACCAATAAGTTTTTTTTTTAAGGCCAATATGTGGGGGGGGAATCCCTTCCAGAAAACATTTTAGCCATCCAAAAGAAAGAAAGGGGGGGGGGGAATCCTTAACTTTCACGTGTTAAGTGCACCCCCCAACCACTATTGGTCATTACATGATTTGCAAAAAATAAATGTTGAAAAATAATTCATTATAAATAACATCATGTTTCTCTGTCGTCACTCTGGTAGGTGATGTTTGCTGCTCATGAAAATCAGATGCGCGAAGCAATAGGAAATACAAATAAAAATCAAAGGTTCCCAAACCAGAATTTTGTAACAATCAGCTGTCTCGGCTTTTGTCTTTTACAAAGAAGGGGTTGCTCTTCGTAACCGTTTCCACCGCAGGGACTCACCGTGATCTTGGATACTCTGTAGTTGTAAACGGTCCCTAGCAATTCGATCTGCTCTCCGCGGACCACTGAGTAAGGAATATGAACCTCTATGAAAACCTCTTTGATCACCTGCACTTGAAGGGCGTCAGCAACACAGATCCCTGTTCAGAAAAGGAGCAAAGAAACCAGCCGTAAGCATCGCTGTCAGCAGCCATTTCTCCTAAAATGTGTCAATAGAGGATGCTCTTCACAAATACACAGCTGATGTAGTAGTTGTTGTTATTGTTGTTGTGCATCATTAAGTCACCTCTGACCTGAGATGACCCCGTGAATGAGTCATCTCCAAAATCTCCTTTCCTCCACAGCCCGGCTCAGGTCTTGCAAACCCAAGCCTGTGGCTTCCCTTAAGGAGTCAGTCTGCCTCATATTGGGTCTTCCTCTCTTCCTGCTGGCCTTCCCCCTTTCCTGGGATTACAACCTTTTTCTAGAAAATCCTGTCTTCTCAAGATGTAGAACAGCCTCAGTGTGTCGACGTTTTTACCACCAGAGAGAGATTGAGGACCCACTTATTATGTCTTTCTGGCAGTCCAGGGGAACCGCAACCAACGATAGACACACACACCCCAAAATTAATGCCATGTTGCGAGGGTCTGAGTGAAATCCCAATAAGTGCAGGAGGTAAAACAGAGGTAGTTAAGACTGGTATTACTAGAAAGCAAAGGGGGAGAGATTGTAAGCTGTTTTTCACGTACCTTGATCCGAAATGCTAACACCTTGTATTTCCCAGGTGGTGAGAGAATCTGGGAGAGTCACTGGAAGTGTTTTGAAGCTGCATTTTATTTTGGGGGCAAAAAAATTGGAACCATTGATATATAGTAGAATTGCTTCTTCTTGTTGTTTCAGAACAAGAGATGTAAAATCACAGTAAATATTGAAGCCATATAACAGCTTTGGGGGAAAACAGGGGGAAACATTCCCCCCCCCCCAGTTTTTCTGTTTTTTTCCCCCCAGGCCTTCCCATCTCTATTCAGAACTAATAATAATCTTAGAACTGCGAAGCTGGAAGGGGTCCTCTGGGTCATCCAGTCCAGCCCCTGCGCAGTAAATAAATGGGTATAATACAGATTTTGTACAGATTGTTGTACCTGGAAACTGGGTGGACCTCCCACAGCCAGCTCTCAGGAAAATAGCTTCGGACCTCAGGTTCCAAGTCCAGGAGGGCAGCAAAGGCTGGAAAATATTTATTTGTTAAAAAGGGTAAAGCAAAACCAACACCAAAAACAGATTCCAATCAACAAGGCGTAACACTCCTTTAAGGCTAAACAGTATAATGGAAACAATATAATGCAAATTAAGACTAAACAATGATCAAGCCCTTATTTGAGGTATTGAAATTTATTTATTTAAGCTTGTTTTATTCTTTATCTTAATTTTAAAAGAAAGAAAGAAAGAAAGAAAGAAAGAAAGAAAGAAAGAAAGAAAGAAAGAAAGAAAGACCTCAAATTCCTCTGCTCCTCAAAATTGTTTTTTGCCTCCCTTATTGTCTGCTTGCATTTTGCATTTGGGAAGGCTGGCCACTTAACCCACTAAAAACTGACCACCCCAACAACCAAAAGTGGAAGAGTCGGCAAGCAATACTGTCATAGAAACAGCGGAAGCAATTTCGTCATCTAAATGCCTGCACAAATACAACCATTTCTGGATCTGGTGATAAAAGAGGAAGGGGAGAGAGAGAGAGAGAGAGAGAATGAAATTGTAATACAATAGGATGCCCGTATCTGTGTGATCAGTAACCACAGTTTAACTGGTCTACAATCTAAAAATATTAAAAACATTAAATGAAAAAACCCAGAAATGCATATTTCCACACTGTAGTTACCAGAACTGGCCAGTAGAGGGACCCAAAGATCATGCCATGTACAGGGTTTGGTTTATCTGCACATTTTCGGCATCTGTGGAGCATAGAATTGTAACCGATCTTCCACAGATCCCACGATCCTCCTCGCTAAGCTCTTCCTTATGCAGGTTGGTCCAAAGCCAGCGCTTTACTACCCGAGGGTTGTGAGTTCATGACAGTAACTTTGATGACAACAGCCTGTATAAACATACCGTTCCTTGCCAGGATTAGAACTTTGTGGGTTTCATTCCGGCGCAGTTTCTCTGCAAAATCGCAGCACTTCTTGAAAGCTTGCAGGCACCTGGGTCCACCCGTAACCCGGCTCATTCTCTCACTGCATGTTTGTGGGACGGGGTACTTTTCTGCCCCTGACCTACAGCACTTCTGAATTGCCAGATGTTTGAAATTGGATACTGAAATGGGGAAGAAGAAGGAAAAAGAGATTTGACATTCCATTCCTTTTTTAGAACCCAAGGAAGGAGGATGCTACATTTGAGAAGCCCACCATGGGTAAGATCCCTGCAGGTGTGTGGTCTTCCCTGGGAAGGAGGGAGCGAATGAGGGAGCAGCCCATCCGTTTCTGATTTTAATCCAAACTATATTCGCCACCCCATTGACACGGAAACCACCAGGCCCTTTCGATCTTTTCTTGCTAAGGTCCCTCAGAGTTGAGCTACATCAGTGCCCAAAAGGCAGAATTAAAGCAAGGGAATCCAGCTTAGTTTTAAAAAGATTTCATAACCTTCCCACAGATCTCTCAAGTGGTTCTTCTTGAGTGGCTTGACATTTAGCTGGGAGAATATTGCATATATAATTCTTCCATTAGGTATACCAAATTCTTTTTTTAAAAATTTGCACCCGGCATACCTAATCGTTCGATTTGATCGTCAAGAGCAGACCGAGTGGATCGCAGAACAGCTTTACAGGCTTCATCTGCGGAAACAAATAAAACAGGCGGACGCCAACCTCTGGTTAATGCATTTCAAATCCTTTCCACATGAGCTGTTATATCAAGTGTCCCTAAGGGGGCTTGTGACTTTGGGCAATCTAATCATGGGGCAGGTAGTTCCAGGGGTGTAAGGGTGGGTGCAGAGTAGAGACAGGCATGAAACAGAAGCATCAGGGTGGTTCCGAGAAGGGAAGCCGGGCGGTCTGTCTGCCCATGGGCACGTCATGCGTACACATGCGCAGCATGCCCAGTTCCCAGAAGATGATGGCGGTGGAAAAGGAAGAGGAGGTGGTGGTAGGACTAGGTCGGGAGGCAATGGGGGGGCAACGGGAAGAGGGCAGGTGGGGCATCCGTTTGGCCAAAGCAAAACAAAGGGCTGGATGGGGAAAAAAGTTCAGCATTTCATTTCGTTTGGGCAAAACAGGACACACGAATCAAATCACGATCCAGCCCAGTTCGTGCTTTTTAAAGTTCCGTTCGTGCCTACCACATGATGGGTCAAGCTGAGTTTAACCTCGTTGTGACATATTTATGGGCTACACAAATGAAATCTCAAGACCGCAGCCTCCTCAATCTCATTTTAGAAGAGAAGATGAAGGGAATCCTAGAGATCATGCAGTCTAAACCCTTGTCCAAGAGGCCCCATGGGGGAATCAATCTCCAGTCCCAACCTCTCATTCCGCACCCACAGGCCTTAAACAACCGAGCTATCCAGCAGTTTTTGGGTTACTTGTTGCTTCCGAAGTTATGAAAGCCGTACCTTCTTCTTTGGTGTCGTCCGCATTGGCATTGGTCATAAAGGTAAGTCCGGCCATTCGGAAGACGTCTACGTTGTTCTGCCCTCCACCAGCATTGCACCCGAGGTCACTTTTTTCCAGCTGCAGAAGTGCCTATTCGGGACGAGCAGGGCAAGAAAACGAATTTTAAAGTGAGATGCTTTGAACGGAGAACAGGGGTGGGAGGAATACATTTGGCTGCCTGACCAAAACCGCCAAATAGCCGTGCTTCATTCACCCGGTGGCCAAATTTATTTGGGCATAAGAGGCAAAAAAAAAAAACACAAACCCACAAACATCTCTCTTAACACACACACACACACACACAAACCCACAAACATCTCTCTTCCTCCCTAACATTAAAAAACCAGTAAGGACAATGTAAATACCTAACCATTTGCTGTCAAAAATTCTCTCCGAGACAGCTGCCTCACTCTGTCTAACGTCAGAGCCGGCCATGATTTAGTTCAAGGCTTGTCCAGGTGTTATGTCCAAACAGGAAGTGTTGCGAGCATTTAGAAAATAATAGCCAGGTTCCTATACACTGATAGGTTTAACTGTGTGAATCCCGGTAGTGACTTGCTACTAGTTACGGAATCCAAGCTTGTATCTCTGTGGCGTGCTAAGTCACGCAACTAACTCAAGACAAGGAATGCGAGCACCAACTCTTTAAGTAATGGCAGTGGCCGCTGAGATTTACGCCACCCGACTTAAATCACTGTATGTAAGTAGTAGGATTCTGCCTGTGACTGTACCACAGGGATTTAATGCACGGATTCGGATTTGTACACAACACTGCATACCAGACATAATGAACTTACTCAAAATATGATATATTTAGTAGTCTAAATATATGCATGTCGTAAATGCATTAACACAGTGCCAACCGTTTCTGTCCTCCGTTTGGACATAACATAACTTTTTCCATTGGCTTCTTCTTCGTTTCGATCACTCCGTAAACAGCGTGGTCCATAGATGACAATGCAACAAGCGAGTCAAACTCGCTTCTCATGGAAAGCGAAACAACTGTTCCCGGACGGTAAAAACTCTCGCTTCTCTGTAGCCGAACCTGGATTGGAGAAAACAAGACAGGATCTGCTGAAGGAAATCCACTTTTTTTCAACGGGGCCCAAGCATCTCTACACTGCTCAGACAAAATATGACAAGAGAAATGAGGGCAGAAATAAAACCAAGCGCAACTTACTTCAAGGCTGTTCCCACATTTTTGTTCCACGTCTAACCAAGCTGAGTCGGCCACCAGCTCTGCTGCTCCTTCTCCTGTAACGATGTAGTAAACGAGAAGGCGGGCCGAAGGAACCATGTCCTTGGTCAGCTGAAACTGCAAACTTTGATAAACAGAGCCTTCAATCTTTTCTTGCGTCCCATAGGTTACTATTTTCCCTTTGGATAAGATCTGGGGGAGGGAAAGGAAAGGAAAACAGGTGAGGATGTGGTCAGTGGCTGCTGAAAAAGTTGTTTTCAGACGACGCCTCCCAGGATCCACTCCATGCGATCTGAAAGATGCAATCCATGAAAGTAACTTTTCTAAGTTCCAGCTGTGGCTCATCAGTGGGGTTGAGGCCTCTCTGGCTGCAGATCCAGAGGTTGGGAGTTCGATTCCCTTCCCGGGGCCTCCCTGACAGGGGCTGGACTCAATGATCTATAGCATGGGTCTTCAAACTATGGCCCGCGGGCCACATTCGGCCTGCCTTGCCTTTTTTATCTGGCCCGGGCATAGGAAAAGGAGGGAAGGGGGACCCAAATGATTCCCCCACCCCCAATGAACTTGCAAAGACAGCAGGGTTGGGGGATTGCCTGGGTCCCCCTTCTCTCCTTCGGCCCTCAAAAATGTTTAAAATATGTGAGGTGACCCTCTTACGGAAAAGTTGGGAGATTCTTGATCTATAGGGTCCTTTCCAGCTCTACAGATATTATAATATGAAAATGTGAGAACCTTTGTCTGTGTGTGTGTGTGTGTGTGTGTGTGTGTGTGTGTGTAAATGCACATGCAAGTGAACAATTAAAAAAAATCAGAACATAGCACAAACCAATATATACAAGCAAAAGAAAAAGGCAACTGACGAATTTTCACTCTCTTAAGGATGAAAATGGACATGATAAGCAAGAAGGATCCATGTGTTTCTAATACATACCAAATAGCTGTAATGATGTATTTTATGAATGTAGTGGCTTGCCGGGTACACATTTATATGGACAGTGCTTCCCACATGTAATGCTTTGTGGTTTGAAGCCCAGTCTATGTACAAATAGCTTCCGCTTCGGGAAACGTACGACTTTGCTTCGTAACTTTCATGGGCTTGGTTTTCGTCCAGTAATTTAGGATCCGCTGTTGTTATCTAAAAACGAGAGCATGTCAGGACTGTGAGATACCAGCTAAATCAATTCTGTCCTGCAGGGCTGATCTTAACAAGAATCATATTCAGTCATTCTTAATTCATCAAAGCAAGCTTTAAACCAGACAGAAAGTTAAATTACAGTATAATTTCTCATGTTTGTGGGGTGGAGTTTCGTTCAGTGTGTTAAGTTATGAAAACTCAGTTTTTCAATATCAGCAGTCTAAAAGGTAATAAAATAAAATATTTCCCAACCGGGTTGGAACACAGACCGACATATACAATCTCAAAGGCCGAAAACGGAGACTCAAGACGGTTTCTACTCACTCGAAACTCCAGAAAGCTGGTGCTGGAAGGAATATTGACTATCATTAAAGCCGTTCCATCTTTTGAGCTGGTGCGGATTTTATCGCTTTCTTGAACTAATTGGGTCTCTTCCATCTCCTCGTTGAAGGCACTAGCGGCAAAGACGACAGGCAGGTTTCTCACAGGGGTACCCAGAGGATCCTTGACTTGCACCTGTCCGTACAGAAGTAATTGGATTTAACATTCAATGACATTTTATTTATTTATTTATTCCAATCATCTTTCTGGAGAAAGCCTCCCCGCGTGGGTTGAGAGAACAAAACTTTAGAAACATAAAATATTGTCATGGGGACAGTGCTTAAAATAACCCTCATACCCTGCCACTGAATGAAGGGCTGCGTCAAACAGCTGCTGGAACCCTTGAACTGTCTTCAAGGATAGCCCTAGGTAGAACAGAGTACAGAAGTCTAGCCGCATAACAGGCAAGCTTTTTGATTCAAAGCCTTTCCCCCAACTTTTAATCCTCTTTCTTAGTGAAGCTCAAGTGTCTGCCTCAGTGACTAATCCCAGGAAATGCAAGCAATAGCAGCCAAAAGTGAGGAGGAGGGAAAGCTGCCAAAGTAGGAGCTTCAAGTGTACCAACAAACTGTCATTCAGAAAGAAAAGACAGGGAACAGAGATAATGACTTGCTGAACCCAGGTGATGTTATTATTATTTTTGGCTACCTGAAGCTCAAACCACACCTCCTCCCTCCTGCTATGGAAGAGAGCAAAAACACAGAAGCTTGTCTCCTTTCACCCTGCCAAATATGAAAAACACAACCCTGGGTTGGCCCTGCGTCCTCAAGCAACGAGAGTTAACGCTTTCCTGTTGACTCTACTCCTCCGCTCCTCCAGAGGACGGAGGAGGTAAATTTAAACTGGAGGTGGTTAATCAATACGACTGACAGAGGAGTTGACTCACTAAATCTCCATTGATCTAACTGGCTTGCTCTAGTGTGATTTACTACTCTAAGCAACAGGATTTGGGCCTATACCTGATATAATCAAGTCTGCCTTGGGTCAGTCCACCCACCTTAATGTAGTAAGGCAGCCCTGGTTTCACAAAAAGGGGAGTGGCAATCAAACGCAGTTTGTAAGGAGACAGGACGTACATAACCGTTGTTAATTCTATGTCTTCACTCCGGCCACCTGTAAAAATAAGAGAAGCACTTTCAAAAGGCTTATCGAATGATGCCGTGGGAAACTTGGAAATACATTCGCTCATCTTGGCTGTCTCCATAGCCAGCTCTCACGTTAAGGAGAGTCCAAAAATGCGTTGTATGATATACTGTGTATATACTTACAATGACAATAAATTATATTATTATTAAAAAAAAAAATAAAAAAAAAATGCAGAATAAATTATATTATTATTAAAAAAAAAAATAAAAAAAAAATGCAGGATTGTTCCATAAGAACAAATGAAGATTGGGTCTTTTGTAAACCTAACGGCTCTTTATGGCCCAGACCCTACCACCTTCAACGACTTTGCAATATAACAGAGAACATTGGTAACCACATAATGTTTGAAGAGTGGGATGTGGAAATTTGTATCCCAGTTATCTGAAGGATGGCAGTGGGGAAGGAAGACGTACTCCCTGCTACTAAAGAAATCCCCGGGGGTCCATCACTCCTTCCCTTTCAGTGTGGGACTACCATGCAGGACTGTTGTGAGGACATAACATGGTGGTGGAGAGCCACATATTTGGCCTTGTGGTCACTGGAGGACAGGTGAAATATAAATGTAACTAATTACGGTAAGACTGTTGTATCCACGGGATTAAGCATCCGCAGTTTCAGTTATCCGTTGACAGAAAATATTAAATTTTTAAAAAACCAGAAATGTGTTTGAAATGTGTATTATCAAAACCGGCCACTAGAGGGAACTAGAGACAATGTTATATATACGTTGTGCATCTCCGCAGTTTTCTGCATCCACGGAGGGAGGGCTTACAGCTCATCCCCTGTGGTTACCACAATGATCAGCTTCTTATGCTGGGACACCATTGAATTTTCCCCTCTACTGCTGCCCATGTATCGTCTAGCTGTGGCTGAAGCAGAGACACCTAGCTGCTATTTGGAAGTTCAACAGCACTTTGAAAATGGCATGCGCATGCGCGCACACACACACACACGCGTGTGTGCAAGACCCACAGAATTACCTTTTGTTTCCAACACGGAAGCTGCGATGTAAAGCTTTGCCCCGTCAAGCTCTTGGAGGCTTCGATAAGATAACTCACTGACGGCCTGTTTGCTGTTGAAATAAAATTGGGCAATGCCTTCTTCCATCTGATAAGACAAGACGAAGGGAAAGAAATCAGAGGGCCTTATAAATATCGGGCACGGTCGAGGCAAAGAGACAGATGCCGTTCATCTCTTGGATAAACTGCTTATCTCGCTTTTCAAATAGCAATTGCAACAGGTTTTATGGCACAATGATTGGGAAACAGGTGGGAGCCTGGACTCCTGCTGGCTGGGGCATTCTGGTTGATATAATTTTAAAAAAAGGACTTTTCCTGTCTATGGATTTTCACCTTCTTTGCAACTGGCACAAAGCTCTGACGATGACCCCTTTGTTCGAGTTACTTTGCATTCCCTAGCGCTGAAATCACCTTCCTCTCAACGGATTCCTCTCATTTAAAATCATTTTAAAAATGTATAAATATCTTTCATGCGTTGACCTAGTTCTTGAGGACGGAGGGTTCCAAGTTCTTAAAAAGGCGAACAGAATCACTGGCAGATGTTTTCCCAAACGACAAAGCCTTGGCAAGGAGGCCGTGCGCTGCTAGTGAGAATAACACCTTCTAACAAGCAGCAACGGACGGTGTTCGGAGTGCGTGTGGGTGGGTGTGGTTCCCTCCCCCCCCACCCTTTGCATGGAAAGTTATTTTGGCACTCGAACAAGTTACAGCAAATATTTCAAGTTCCCAGAAACAGTGGGAAACTTGGAAATACGTCAAAGCATTTCTCCTCTCACCCACTCAAATATTCCTGATTTGCATTCCCGCCTTGAGCAGAGGGCTGGATCTGATGGCGTTAGAGGCACCTTTCAACTTCAGGATTCTAGGATTCTATGAAAGCATGGCTAGAATCTGGGACAAAAATCAGTTTAAATCCAGTGTTTCAGTGGTTTGTGGAAAGGGCTACCTGGTAAAGACATGGACCCCTACTGTTTTATTCTACATCACTGTTTCCCAACGTGGGGGTCACCGAGTGGCGTTTTTTTGGGGGGGTTGTGGGTCACCTTATAAATGGTGTAGCCTTTGTCAAATAATTCCTTCCTTGATCTTTCAGAGCCAAATATTAACGTTAGCATGTATGTCTAAGTATGAGAAACAGACCCCTTTGCTGGAGAGAAAGAAACCTCTATTTCCCATTAAAAATGCCTTTTGATGCAAAGGTGGGGGAGTGTCACAGGTTATTTGGTTATTATAGAAGGGAGGATGTGACTTGAAAAACGTTGGGAACCACTATTCTACGTAGAATCATTTGTATTAATGCAACTAAAAAGAAATAAACATTGAGTCTCACATCAATGCAACTAAAAAGAAAAAAAAATTGTCCTCACATCAAAAAGAATAAAAATAAATATTTGTCCTCATATTAATGAGAGGAAATGTTTATTTATTTTTAAGAGCGCGGGTTCAGAGCCTCGGAAATGAATTCAGAAGGAGAGGAGGGGAGATGTGGTTTTTGCACGGACTCCGTGCCTTTACTACTATCCAGGATTCCACAAACTCTGAGTCATCAGGGGCTCCTCTATTTTCTGGACCCGAAGCCAGAAAAGCAGGGGAAAAGGACGACTGTTTTAAGCCTCTTCCAGAGTCTTGGCTCATCAGACTATGGAACGGATCCAGCACAATCCTATTTCTTCTCATAAAGAAATTTCTGCGTCTGTTTTCTTTTCATATTTGAAAAATGCACTGTAAGTAGTTCCGTATGCATTTTCCCTCTCGCTCACGCATGCCTGAGCCTACGGACTACAGGTCTGGAGGCTGCAACGTCTGCTCAATGCTACAGCTAGGTCACCAGTCAAACACCAGTTCAGTGGAAAGTGTTGGGGTTTTTGTTGTTGTTGTTTGTTTGTTTTTATTATGTAGCTCAAGAAATTTGCAGCCTAAAAATCAGAAAAAGACTCAGAAGAACAGCTTTGAAGGAATTAGATAAGAACCTTGAAAGTAAGGATGTGTCACTAGAGATCAAAGCCAAGACATTCTCCATCATTGCACTCCCATTTACTAGGTGGAAGCTGGACAACAAAAAAAGCCACCAGGAAAATAACTGATTTGTTTGGGGGGGGAGAAAGGGTTGGAGAAAAGCTTGCCGATACTACAGACTGCCAGAAAGACCAAAAAGGTGGGTCCTAGTTCGCATCACGCTCACCCTTCCTCTAGAAGCAGCAGAGGATTTGGGGCTGAGGGCACCTCAAGAGAAAACCGTTCTCTCTTTAACAAAAGGCAGTAACACTAGGAAAAAGTAGAAGACAGCAGGGAAAGAGGAAGGCCAAATATTTGATGGATCAACTCAATAAAAGAAACCACAGGATTGAGTTTGCAAGAACTGAGCAGGTGGTTAATGATCTTTAAGACAAGACCTTTGGGAGGTCAACTAATTCACAGGGCCATCCTAACCTGGCGGCAGTGTCTTGCTGGCACATAACAATGTAGCTTGAGATCAGGATATTTAGAAGACCATTTCCTCCCATACAGACCACCGCAGTTATTCAGGGAAGGAAGGCTCTGTTTTGTGTACGACAGCCCCTTACAAAGCAGCAGGTGGACACGCTTTCCTACTGAAACATCTGTCTTGAAGCTCAGAAGCTTCCCTGGGATTCCGACACACAAACTTACCTCAATGAATTTCAAGGCTTTGGGCATCATCGTTTTCTGAGATCCTTGAATGATTCCAAACCGGACATAAACCTGAGCATCTGCCACTGGCTCGTTGTAAAAGTATCTTGGAAAGAAGAACAAAGCGACATGAACAGGGAGAGGCCAGTTCTGACTTGAGGGCACAGAGAACATACATACATGGGTTCATGTGGTTCATATGTAGTGTCTCTTGAAATATGACAGGGAGGTGAGTCCGGGTACAGCTCTTAGATTGCAGGAAAGCAAAACCACACTTCAAAATATATTTTGTTTTGTTTTTTCATTTAAAAACCAATTAACACACAAACGGTAAGAGGTAACCTTGATATGCTGGGCGTACCTGGCTCTAATAGTAATCTTGAATCTTTCAAAGTGCTGAGAGCTGATGAAGTTATTTTCTGGTTCTATCGTGACCGAAAAGCTTGGCATCGCTGAAATGGGAAAGATAAGAAATCTCAGTTCTTTAAATATGCTAAGAGTGATTACAAAAAAAATAATTTCAAGAGGGAAAGCGGCTGAACTTAATTTATAGACACGTAATAGTTACAAATAGCAAAGCGATAATGCAATAATCCATTGATCTAAGTATCACCTAAATATCAGTGTAATATGTAATATGTATGCTGTTCCTAATATAGGTGGTTTTTTTTACAGCTCTGGCAATGTTATTTCAAAGCCCTGTAGCTGATTTTATAAAATTCTATGGCATTGTTTCCAGTGTCCTGACGTCTATGGGGACCTGTGAAATTGTCGTTGTTAGTCACATCATCATCATCATCGTATTGAGGAAGCATTCATATTTACCATATTCTTTAACTTGGAATTTTGTTTCGGCAGAGGTCGTGAAATCCTTCTGATACTTGGCCTTAATTGTCCAGACTCCAAATCTGTCAGGGGGGGAAAGTTCATGAGAGGTTTGAAAGAAGAAGTGGGAGATTGGATGGCCCACCATGGTGAAGAGAAGACCATCATCATTTGGGATTAAAAGATGCTGTGCCCACCCATGCCTCAATACACTGTGTGCTGGGCAGGAAACTAAGTTTAGAATGTTAAAAAGCAGACTGAAAGGTTGCACCTTTTCCGAACACCAGACCCTTCTCTCCTCTTACAGTCTCCTCTCTGTCTGCAATCTCTCTACAATTCATCTTTCATCCTACGCCTCTTTTCTTCCTTACCAAGTCCTCTGCATCTCGATTCTATTTCATTTTATACAACCCTCCCTAAAACATAGAGGCCTCTGAAGAAGAAAGAAGCCAAGCTGGAAAAAAACAGAAGGCGGGCTCTGGATCCCGTTTGCTAAAAAAAAAATCTGCAGAAAACTTAATAGGCGAACATATTCTCGCTCCCCCAGACATGCGGGAAATAAATGTTGCAAATGCAATCGTCCAGGGTTGACGTATTCCAATGAAACACAGTGCAGGCTAAGTGTGGGCATGTTGAAGAAACCAGCTTTTAAAAAATACAGTTAAGGCGGCCCCTTTTCCTTCCAAGAATAAGCCAGCGGTGCTACTGTTAGCTTTCCATGCCTCAGCAAACTTTCAGCACCCTCTAGAGACCTAAACAGGAATATGTTTGTGTACCTTCTGATAATAGATGATAAAATCATGTGCTATCAGCCAATTCTGACTCATCAAGACCTTTTTTTCCAGCCTTTTCCAGGTAGAGAATATTCAGAGGTAGTTTACCCTTCCCTTCTTCCAGGGGTACCCTAGGATGGTGCAGCTTACCCAAGGCTACACAGGCTGGCTCTACTCACGGGAGGCACCGCAGGGCATCAAACTCCCAACCAGATAATTAAACCGCTGAGCTATGCAGTCAGCTCAGAAATGACTAGATAATTTTATTTTGAGGTGGGGAAAGATTCTTCTTCAGACTACAAAACTGAGAATATTCCAGCCAGCATTTGAACTTCTGGCACCGGGGTGGGGGGGGGGTCCATAAAGACAACTTCCTCAAATTTCTGGAACTTATTCCTACTGCATAGCCAGAGTGTTTCTAAAAAAGATGAGACAAGAACTGCACAAATGCAATTCATGCCTATGTTTTTTTTAAGGATGTGAAAGCTTTTTCCCCCCTCACTTTTAAAGAGCAAATATGGGGTTGCGGTTGAATCTAGGATGATGGGAAAGAGACAAAGAGTTAAACACATCCCTTACCCCAGGCCATTGTCTACAACCTGAAAACCATTAAAATGCAAATAAACGTAGATCATAACTGCAGGAATGGCATTGTGTATATTCTGACCAGAATCTGACCCCAATGAGCACCGTAAAGCAATGCCGATTAATTATAAATATCATTTGTTATAAATCCGTCCTCCATTCCGCACAGAGAAAAATATATTTCCTCTCAAAATATTCTCTAATGCCAGGAAAATTTAGCAAACTGATGAAACTTTCTAAAATTATTTTAAAACTGTGCCAGATATTTCAGGGTTCAAAAGCTACTGGCTCAAATGCAGCCACACATAGTAATAATAATAAGAATTAATAAATAATAATTAATTTAATAAAATAATCTTATAACTGCATGGCTGGAAAGGACCCTATATAGATAATTGGGTCCAGTTCCTGTCGAAGAGGCACACTGGAGATTCGAACCCCCAACCTTTGTCCCAGAGACCTAATATTTAATGAGTCTAGAACTGAACTTCATCTTCCCTGAACCAGTGTTCTCTAGATGCATGTGACTATAACACCCATGATCCCCCTGCAAGACTGGACACACTGCTTCAGGATGATGGGAGTTGTACTCCATTCCATCGGGGAAAGCACCAAGATGGGGAAGGCTCACTTAAACCCACCAAGTTGGATTTGGGGGATATAAAAGAGTTTTGAATGCCCTAGCATCCTTTACACGAGCATCAGCGGCGCACTTCATTTGCAAACAAAGAAAAGATATTTGCTGTCAAAATGTACAAAATGTGAACAGACTTACTTTGGGTGTAGAGGAATTTTGAAGTCAGGGAATGATATAATCCCAGTCATGTCTTCCTCCTTTATCATATCCACTTCTACGCCATCGGGATCCTTCAAGGGAAACAAAAATAAACTTACACGAGCATCAGCGGCGCACTTCATTTGCAAACAAAGAAAAGATATTTGCTGTCAAAATGTACAAAATGTGAACAGACTTACTTTGGGTGTAGAGGAATTTTGAAGTCAGGGAATGATATAATCCCAGTCATGTCTTCCTCCTTTATCATATCCACTTCTACGCCATCAGGATCCTTCAAGGGAAACAAAAATAACTTTGATGGTGGTTGTAGGTTTTTTGGGCTGTTTGGCTGCGGTTCTGGAGGTTTTTCTTCCTAATGTTTCACCAGTCTCTGTGGCCGGCCTCTTCAAAGGACAGGAGTTAGAACTCTGTCTGTATCCCACACACTACACCAGAACACAGACAGAGTAGCATATGTAGTGCTATCTGTACTGTTACTGAAATATTGCTCTATTTCTAGCTTTCGATCACGCTGCTATTCATTTGTAATCACTTATGCACTTTTTTCCATTCTAAGCCACTTGCCAAAGTTTGACCCCAAAAGGCAGCAAATTCATTTTTCTCCCAAACCCACCTATCCTTATTCACTTTTCTGCATCGCACAAGTCAAAGTTCAAAACACCGGACTTTCAATTTTAATCAGGATGGACTTACCACAAAAATCAACGTGGCTGCTCTTCTCGCTGGCCTCAGTTCTTCATTCAGAGAATAAACCCGAACCTTCACTAGGGGATAATTTCAAAATAAATAGAATGGAACTGAGTGCATTTGGAAAGTAAGGTTAAATACAAATGGATGAAAGTGCAGACAAAAAAAAATTACTCTGAACATCCAGGAAGCAAAAACACAAAGGTGACTTTACCTGTCTGGTCTGGAGTGTAGATGGGTTTGTCCGTCTGGATAAAAAGGAATCCATTATCATAAGTCACTGGCATTTTCTTCTCTTTTGTAAAGTGTGGAGAAACTGCTTCCAAGTACACATATTGTACTGGGTTGTCTGGATCTTGGCCAGATAAATCCCTTGGCTGCAGCTGGAAATAGGGTAAAAATGTTGTTGTTTGCAATATTAGCAGTGGAGCTTAAACATCAGCTCATCAGAGGAAAGGTTCATTAATCAGTTGATGGAGACGTGTCTCAGCAACTAGAATGCCACATCATAGAAAGATGCATTGCTTCTGGGGTCTCATACTAGGGATGTTTACAAGGAAGTAAATGTCTCTGAGACCATCCTGAAGGAAGCATGCAGAGGAGATGTGCAGAAGCAGACCAGAAACACTTTAGCAACACAGATTTTGGCTGAATATCTGGGAAAAGATTCTTAACTGTTAGAGGAGTTTGACAATGGAATCTATGACCAATAGCATCTGGAGAGCAAAATCAACCCATCTCTGCTTTATTCATAATCTAATCAGGTGTAGTTAGGTTGATTCTGATGTATGGTCATCCCCTCCAAAGTATTAGGGTTTTATTTTTAGATATAAAGCTCCCAAAAGTCCCTCCTTAGGGTGACTCTGGAATTACCACACGGTCTGTTCAAGGCTGCAAAGGTGGCAGGATGCACAACCTGCTGGTCACACATGCGCCAGACGAGTTCAGCTAGCCCCTCTCTACATAAGGACAACGAGGATTCGAATCCAGACCTCTTTCCTCACAACTGGGGGCTCCTATCCGTTGAGTTCCACCAGATCCCCTGCTTTAATACATACCGTTAAAGTTACGGAACCTTGGAATTTATTTCCTGGAGTTAGCTGAGTTTGGCCGAAGGCGTAAGTTGTTTGTTTATCTGGAAAGCTTTTCACCGATATGGTCACGCCGAACTCTTGTTCGTACCCAAAAGCCTGGATCACCACCTTTTCAGATGCCCCCGCACGGAGAATTTTGGGTGACGAAATGACATATCTGTAAGAGCAAATAAAAAGAAGCCCTCTCTTTTATAGTTTACTAAGACAATCTCTTGATAAAAAAAACACTATAGTTTATCGGTTACAGCTTTGTGAACACTGGAATCTACAGAAACACAACCAGCCTGGCTTGTAAGAAGAGGGAAATTTGACAAGTTATCTTTTGACTGTGTTTGAAGATTCAAAAATCAACACCATCCCTTGGAATATCATAGGAAAGTAATCTCTGGAAAGCTAGATTGACCCCTCTCTCCTCTCCTAACCCTTTCTCCTCTCCTTTAGGCAGCAATTGAAAATATTTTTGTTCCAACAGGCTTTTAATGTTTAATATTTAATTTTAACATAGCTGCTTGCCTTTTGCTTGCTACCAATATATCTTCCCCCCCTCTCTTTTTTCTGTGTTTTTAATGCTCTTATACTTCTTAATTGGTTTTCATAGGATGATTTTAATACTTCCCTGTTTCATCATTTTAATGCCTCTTTTATGTTGTTATGTTAATTCCCGCCTCTGTTAACAATCTGTGAGTCACCTGGAGAAAGGTGGCATAGCAGTAAATAAATAAATAAGCTGAGATTTAGCTGTGCGTTTTGCAAAACAGTGTTAGGCTCGATCAGACGAAAGACACTCTTCCTTTCTTTGCAACAGACTAATAGAGACTGATGTGCATTTAGAAATAAGCACAAATTATGCTCATAAAATTTATAATCATCCATTTATAATCATCCCCACCATCCTCCTCTTGGAATTGCAGAGCTGGAAGGGATCCCTTAGATCATCAAGACCAGCCCCTGTGAAAGAGGCATAGTGGGGAATCGAACTCCCAAACTCTCGCTCCGCAGATCAATACCTCAACCACTGAACGAACCCAAAGTTGGTGAGGTTTAAATTAATTGTAAGTCTATTTTTTTAATTGATCTGCACAGTATTCTGTAAACATGCCCATGCCTAGAAGCTCAGCTTTGTTCTAACAAAGGAGTCTCCTGTTCTTACTTTTTTTTTTTGCTCCGCAACATATCGTGCATAACCACCTTATACTTACGTTTGCTCCTGAGCCAGACTTCTTCCGCCTAATGTCAGAAATAATAAAATCCCCAGAGGAATCATGGTTGACCTGAGCTGCAGGGGGTTGGTGAGGAAATACGCCCCTGGGTGCTTTGTCGTAGGGCAAGCCCGTCAGGAGAGTTTGATAGTGAATTTATCTCAAAGGTTAATCATTCTAGAAAAAACCCCTTTTCTATTCTTGGCCAAACAGGAGACGTCCATTCCTGAGTCTTCCGTGTGTGTGTGTGTGTGTGTGTGAGAGAGAGAGAGAGAGAGAGAGAGAGAGAGAGAGAGAGAGAGAGAGAGAGAGAGAGAGAGAGAGAGAGAGAGAGAGAGAGAGAGAGAGATAGTGAGAAAGAGAGACACACCTTCCTCATTTGAGTAAGCAAACTTTTTAGGAAGTAATGCAAGATCTTCCTTTTTTAGAAAAATTTGCAAGACCTTTCTGAGAAACTAGTTACTCTAGAGGCATTTACTATAAACTAAAGACACACATTTTAATTTTTTTTTAAAAAAGAATTACTGCTTTATTAGTGCCTGTCATGCAGAAGCTCACCACTTTCTACATCTGTTATTTGCATATTGAGTGTAATCACCCAGGGATCAATAGAAACAGAAGTTACATCAAAGAGTTTACAAATTTAAAACAAACACTCTTACCCACTGTTCCAGGAAATATAGTTTGCCAAATAAATAACTGACCAATAAAATCTCATGGGGGAATTCATACCTGAGCATAGGTCAATTTACCTTCTCTTTCTCAAACAGCTATTTTTAAGGCAAGTTCTTCCTCATTGGGTGGTGTTTTATTAGGTGCTCCCTTATTGGTTCAATTAGCTTGGGAAAGTACAGTATAAAGGTTCTCCGGTTGTCACAAACACAAACATCCCAATATTCCATACCTAACAATGACAGCTTTCCCCACCATCATACCCAGAATTTCTATTATTTAGATTTTCAGATTTGCACCAAAACACCCGGCAGAGGCACATGCTTGGAAAAATCTAATTAGGGACTTGTTAATTGCCCACTCAAAGCCACTGCAAGTTATAACATTCGCTTTTCAGAGATGTAGCTAAATAATAGGTTTCTTGACCAATAACCATCTAATATGTGCATTAACACACGCAAACCCTCCTGGAATGAAATTTTAAAAATGTGTGTTGCTAATAGCGCTCAAAACACTCTCTGGGTGGTTTGGAATTTAATTATGCAGGCTATATATTGTGCCCCCCTCCACCCAGCAATCTGCGTACAGTACTTAACTTACAGACCTCGGAAGAAGGCTGAAGTCAACCTCGATCTGGTATTGAACCCGGGTCATGAACAGAGTTCTGGACGCAGTAACTGCAGTTTAGCCACTGTGCCACAAGAAACGGAATCCTCTGCAACAGACAAGATAATCACGTATATACAGCATTAGGATAAATGTTTTGTACAGAGGCCGGTAACATGATCTACAAATAATTTGTAGCAGGTTCGGAGTTGCTACTTTTAGAGAAATGCCTTCCAGTTTTTAAAAACCTTTGTATCTTGTTGCACTAGTGCTGTTATCCATCTTGAGCAGTATTTGTGGAAAGAACAGGAAGGTGGTAGGTAAACTTTTTTTAAAAAAATGCATGTGTTTGAAAGGGCAGCTCTGTGCAGAAATGCATTAGGCTAAGGCTGCAAGTCAAAACAGCCGTTCAGAGTGGTTGCATAGCCCAGATGGGCGGGATACAAATCAAATCAATCAATCAATAAAACAGATTGTTTTGGTCCTACTGAATAGACTGGGATTTCTTCATATTTAGACCAGTGGAATTAATTTATCACCTTTATTTATATACGGTTTTCCTCCAGAGGGGCCGCTTTCCCTCAAATTGGCCGGCACAACCATCTTCCTCAGTTCTAAGATGTTGATGATGATGATCCTTAATGAATTATTGGATAGATCAGTGATTTAGGCATCTGGCTACAGAACCAAGAGGTTGAGAGTTCGATTCCCTCACTGGGCCTCCTGGACAGGGGCTGGACTGGATGATCCATAAGGTCCCTTCCAGTTCTACAATGATGATAATAATTACTTCTGTGGGTTCACTCTTTTCATCTAGAAGGGAGGAGATAAATAAAATCAGTACTTTGGCATCAAAATCCCTGCTTTAAAACGTTTGCATGATTAAACCAAACCAGACACTGATGCATTCATCTTATTTTATGGATAACCTTTCTGAAACAATTCTTCATGTTCTTTATTCATTTAAAAATATCTATGGCCCACCTTTCTGCTCAAGAGGACCTGAGGGAGCTTACAATATTAAAAAGAAATGATATCAAAAAAAAATGTGAGGGGAAAAGCCGACAAAGCAACAAAACAGCACCCTGACTTGTAGGCAGTTTGTTCTTGGAAGAAAGCCTTTTAAAAAGGTCACTTTCAAAATTCTTATTTCCGACAAGCAACAAAACAGCACCCCGACTCATAGGCAGTTTGTTCTTGGAAGAAAGCCTTCTAAAATGTTACTTTCAAAATTCTTATTTATGGCAGCTTAGGTGCATTGGCTGGACCATTTCATCAGAAAAGCTAATTCTCTCTTTTTTAAAACTTATTATTTCAATTTTGCTTTTATCTGTAACTGCATTGGCTGGACCATTTCATCAGAAAAGTTAAGCCTCTTTTAAAAAACTTTTTATTTAAATTTTGTTTTTGTCTATAACGCTTGCACGGACTAACATGGCTACTCTTTGTACAACTGCAGAAAAATTGTGGACTTCTATGGATGGCTACTTATTTTTCTAGTGGTCCAATTAAAGGACAGACTAACACGGCTACCCCCTTCTACAACTGCCAAAAAATTGTGGACTTCTATGGATGGCCATCCATACAAGCGTGCTACTTATTTTTGTTACTGGTCCAATTAAAGGTTATTACCTACTCTTGCATTTGTGGAACAATTTTAAGATCTATAATGCTTTATTTCCAAGCTATGCAGTGACCCCTTTCATGGGTTTGTTCTAAACAAATCAGCACCACCCCTCATGGCCTGGCTTCTGTTTGCAAAAATACACGCAAGAACACTTCAGAGATCTACAAATACATCGCCTGTTTGAGAGAGATATTAAATTTATATGATATATACATGAGAGGTATATATCATATACAGTATACATGTACACATATACAGTACATGTGAAATTACCTACTCTTGCATTTGTGGAACAATTTTAAGATCTATAATGCTTTATTTCCAAGCTATGCAGTGACCCCTTTCATGGGTTTGTTCTAAACAAATCAGCACCACCCCTCATGGCCTGGCTTCTGTTTGCAAAAATACACGCAAGAACACTTCAGAGATCTACAAATACATCGCCTGTTTGAGAGAGATATTAAATTTATATGATATATGCATGAGATGTATATGTGAAACATTTAAAATAGATGATATATGGCACCTCTCAAACACATTATATGATACATGATTTTATTAACTGGGAAGAAGGGGTTGTTTTATCATGTTTTAATGGAATTTTATTACCCTGACTGACTTTACCAAACTATAGTTACATGTATCTATTTTATATTGATTTGGTTTTTCTGGTCTTTGACTGTAATAAGGTATTCATTCGTTCACATTATATGTCCCAGGCATTAAATGCCTCATAAAACAAAGAGAAGCAAAGCCTCTTTCATGTGGTGCATATATCAAAAAAAGGAAAGCTTCAAAAGTCAAGGAGAAACACGGAAGGCGCGCTCCCGCCACCCAGAGCGCACTCCCGCCTCGCCCTCTGGCCAAAGGCGGGAAGCGCGAACCGCCTGAGAGACCGTTAAAATGGGCTCCGCAGAAGGGAGGCGTGGCGAAGGAGGTGGAGGCGTGGCTTCCTGTGGGCGGGGAAGCGGGCAGGAGGGTCCCCATTGGCCGGGTCTACTTCCTCGCTCCCTTCCAGCCCCGCCCCTTCGCTCCCCTCCTTTCTCCCCGCCCCGCGAACAAAATGGCGGCGCCGGCCGCCATAAAAAGCCGGGAAAGGAGGGAGGGGACCCGGCCCGCGCCCGGAGGGGTTGCTATGGCGACGGCCGTAATCAAAGCCGCGGCCTAAAGCTAGAAGAGGACGGGGGACCAGATTAGAGGTTGCAAGAGACCCAGGTGAGAGGTCGTAGGGGTTATGGGTGAGGGGGCTTTGTGGAGGGATCCCTTTTGCCCGTCTGGGTCTTCTTTAAGGGAAGGGGGGCTGGAGAAAGTGGCCATGCAATTCCCCCCCAATACACTGAAATGATGCAGGCAGGCAGGCTTGCTCCCACCCTGAGGGGAATGGGTCTGTACGTAATATGAAATTAAATAGGTGCTTGTTCCTGTCATTTCGTTTCTGTGACTGTCCTTATATTTGAAATTGCACTGCTCCCACCATTGTGCATGGCTGTAAATGCATATATCCTTATATATGAAATTGCATATACCTGTACACACATTGCTCCCAGCATTGGTTGCATGTGCGTAATGCATGTATCCTTATATACGAAATTAAATATGCACGCATGCTTGCTCCCACACTTATATTATTCGTGTGTCTATCCTCATATATGGAATTAGATAGCCGTGCATGTTTGCTTCTGTCATTTTGTGTGTCTATCACTATCTGTGAAATTGCATATACTGTAGTTTCTATGGATGGAAAAGAGCAGATACGGATTAAATGGTTTTCAATGCATTCCTATGGGAAATGCAGATTCAACATAAGAACTTTTCAACTTGAGAACCACCTTCCAATACGGATTAAGTTCTTAAATAGAGACCCCACTGTACATACTTACTTGCTCCCACCATTGTGTGTGTAATACATATATCCCTATATATGGAATTAAATATGCATGCCATACTTATTTCTGGGAGTGGAAACCAAGTTCTTTTTGTGAGGCCTGGGCTATAACTTGCCGGTGGCGCCAGATCTCATGATGGGAGCAGAGTGGGGCTTCCATCTGATTCTGTAGCTCCAGGGAACCAGCGGATTTTTGTTGCAAAAAACATCCCAGAATAGGTGTCTTCTTTTATTTTGACCCAGATTTGTTCTGGGGAGCATGACTGCCTGCTTTGTGGACCGCAGGATGAAAGCCTGCGGCAAAGAGCATTCAAAAGCCAAGGCTTTAGAGATGAAAGGAAGCAAAAAATCATCTTTATACTTGGCTGTCATAATGTGGGCTGGAGGATTGTGAATTGTGTGTTAGCCGTGGAAGCAAACTCTGTGTAATGATCACTGAGGAGGCAATGTGATTCGTTATATAATGCCTTTTATACATGTTAGGCACAAAACATGTGCCTAGCCGTAGCTTTCGCCTGAATTTTTCACTTGGGAGCAGATGAATCTGTTCTTTATAATCAGCCAGTTACAAAGCTCTATTTAAGTGGTGTGCTCCCTGACGCTTATTTAAAAATCATTTTTTTGAACGTTCACCATTTGGATAGCTCCTCTTTTAACGAAACGGGTGAGGTGAGAAACAGCGCTGATATTTATCGTCTAAGTTGTTTATCGGGTCATCGATTATAAGCAGGCAAGTGACATTATTCTTCAAGGTGAATTCTGTCATGGGGGGGGAAAGTAGTTTTAGAAGAGGTAGCCATTTCCATCTGTGCTAGCATGTCGGGCAAAATAAATAAAAATGAAGGCGTCAAAAAGCGTTTCTTTAGCCAGCGTGTTGTTAGGCTGTGGAACTCCTTGCCACGGGATGTGGTGGTGGCATCTAGCCTGGAGGGCTTGAAAAGGGGACAGATTTCTGGAGGAAAAATCCATCGCAGATGACAAGCCATGATGGGGGTGTCTAATCTCCATGCTTAGAAGGAAGGGACCTCAAAATGCCAGATGCAGGGGAGGGGGATCAGGAGACAGGACTCTTGTTGTCTCGTGGGCTCCCAGAGGCATCCGGAGGGGCCCCTGTGAGAATCGGGAAGCTGGACTAGATGGGCCCTTGGCCTGATCCAGCACAGGGCTCTTCTGAGGTGCTTATTGTGTCACCTTAAAGACTAATTGCTATATTTTAATGTGAGCATTCATGAGTAAAGGAAAGAGCTATAAGGTAGTTCGTTTCTGTCGGGACGGAAGACTTGAGCATCCTTTCACCCTGTAACTCTGAAAGAAAATGCTAATATGTGCTGTTTTGCCGGCTGAGTTGGGGGAAGCCACAAGCTTCCTGGAATAAGCTCGGCGAAAAAGGGGAACCGCAGCTTCCTAGAAGCTTGCCAGAGAAACATATAGTAAGTAAAGCAAAAAATAATAATAATAGGAGGCCCGGGACAAGACTTAATTATCACTGGCTGGCAGATTGTATTGCATTCCTAAATTAGGGAACATTACAGGGAGAGAGTCTTAAGAGCATTAGAGATAAACATGTAATGATATACGTAGATGTGTTTGTGTGTATGCATAGAATCAGGAATCACGTTCTTAACATTTGTGCAGTTTGCTGAAAGATCAAGGCACCTTCTCGATGTGGGAGAAAAGCCAGTGTGTCCTGCCTTTGCAGGTTTTCGCCCGACAATAATGGAGCCTCCCGCGCGATGAGGAAATTTCAGCCGCAACGAACGTCGCCGAGAAAGAGGCAAATGTCACCCTCTCGCACCCGGAGCCCGATGTCTGCCGTGAGTTCAAGCAGCCGGTCGCCGTCTCCACTTGGCCGGCAAAGAACGCCAGCTCCTTATCGGACGACAGGGCGAGGGTGCCAAGGAGACGCCGCGGAAGGAAATGAAACTGGAATCGCCTCCGAAGATCCAGCGGCTCTAGGTATTTTAACCAATAATTGATCCATAACCATTTTAAGTATTGCAGTGTTCTTTACATTGCCTCCCATCTCTCCCCATCTAGCGAGGCAGATTTCTAGATTGCCTTAAATGTAGGGTTATTTTGGTTCCTGATGACGTTATATTGGAGGTGCATAGTCCCCTCAAATTACTGATTACTGGAACAGGCAGTTAGCTTGGTTTGTCGTAAGAATTGCATGTTTTCTAGCATATTTGGGGGGGAATGAATAAATAAATTCAAAGCTAGCTCAAGATCTTGTCCTTTATGCCGTGTCTGTGAATTGCAGGGGGGTTTGTCCCACTGTCCCCTTCTTGTTTATTCCATCCAACGCGTTGCTGTTGATTTTAGGTGACAACTGTATCAGTCCAGGTGTCAGATACATCACGGAACCTCTTATTAAGAAGCTGTCCAAACAGGAAAATCTGATGCAAGTAACTGCTTTGAACCTTTGCCTCGCTAAAGATGGTGGAAAGAAGTTTAAGGTATGTCCTCAAGGTATATTGAACTCCCCCCTCCCCTTAGTTAAATATTTTTGAAGGACAGGCTAGATATTGGTCATCCTGTTGAAGAAACCTGGAGTTCGTTAAAATCAATTTATTGTGGTTTACCAGAACATATTAATGCCCTCCTCCGCTGCCCTTTAAAATTAAAATACAGTATTCCACCTAGATGTGATTTATTAGCAGCTTCATGTCTCTGAATCTGGCCACTGCCTGCTAATTCAGCATTTAGGACATCTAAGCATTTAAGACGTTCCAGATTGATGCTTTTAAATGCCTCTTTGTTTTTTTAAAGAATTTTGACTATTTTAAAATAAACTTATGGAAATACAATCCATCGTCGACCCCTCATGCTTACGTGACTGGTCCAGTCAGTGTGTTTCTTAAGAACAAAAAGATACTGTTCTTTTTATTGCAGAAGATCCTTGGTGATTTACAGTCTTGTTTGTCCCCCACCCCAGTACATAGAAAATCTGGAAAAGTGTGACAAGTTAGAAGTCCTTAATCTCAGCTGCAACCTTGTTGAGAAGATTGAAAAACTGGACAAACTTTTGAAGTTGTGTGACCTCAATCTGTCGTTCAACAGAATAAGGTAAGCAAGAAAAGAAGGAACAAGGAAGTTTTATATTCGACTGTATCTGGACCATTTCTCTGTGTCACCGTTGCAGCGAAGATTATGGTAGCTGTGTTGCTCATCTTAAAAACAAAGCAGTGTGCCGCTAACAATGTATAACCTTAATATTTCTTTCTGATAAATCTTTCTAGTAAAATAGAAGGCATTGAACATCTACACAACCTGCAGAAGTTGAACCTGGCTGGGAATCAGATTGAGCACATCCCGGTTTGGGTGGGGAAAAAACTCAGGTCCCTCCGCACGCTGAATCTGAGAAAGAACAAAATAGCATCAGTAAGTGATTTCAGCCTGGAATATGCTTCCAAGAGCATGTTTCCATTTCTTACTTTGTTTTTAAGATGGTGATTGCTACGGGTTCACATCTTTATCCAGGTCCTTGCAATAAAGTCCCACTTCTTCCCATTTAAAAAAATTGACATTTTAAAATCGTCATTGTTTGTGAATGATGCTCCCTTCTGGGACCCACAAGAGGGTGGCTTTACAGGAGGGAGAACGTGACGTTACGAATGGTGGGCTTGCCAGATCCCCCCTCTTCGAAAGCCGATGACCGGAACAACTTTTCAGAGCTTAAAGAAAATAAGAAAATAATTGCATGAGGACTCCCCCTTATTGAAGAAGAAAGGCTCATTGTAAAAACAAACCAAAAAAAGGAAGAAAGCACCTAGAAAATATTGTTCTGTTTGCCTTTTTCTGTAATCCTTCCGTAAATCCCTTTTCAGTGGGAAGTGTTTTGAAGTTTTCGACTCCAGGCATTTAAGTAATAATTTGTGTTATAACTTAACACAGTATCTTAAATGACCACACCTTCTCAGCTTCAGCTTTGACGTACAGGATTCATATAACATGTTAACGTGTTCTATAATAAGCTGATTGATATATATATATAGATCAAATAGCTTATTATAGAACATGTTAACATATTATATTAATTCTGTATGTCAAAGCTGAAGCTGAGCAGGTGAGTTGAATACTTTGAAACAATTCCCACTGAAAAGGGAGATATATAAATATAAAATGTTGGGCAATTAATGTTTCAGAATTAATGTCAGAATTCTTTCACGCAGCTTCAAGAAGTAGCTAAACTGAAGCCTCTCAAAGATTTGACTTCTCTGTTCCTGGGAGACAATCCTGTTGCCAACCTGCCCCATTACCGTCTCTACACCATTTTCCATTTGCGGTCACTGGAGGATCTTGACGGGCAACAAGTGACCAATCGGGACAGAGAGGAGGCTCACGAGAGGTTTAATTTAGGTAAATTTGTCAGCTACTTCAACGGACCGGCGTGGAGTCCCGTCTTTCAGTTTCTGCCCACTGAATGATGCTCCCTTCTGGGACCCACAAGAGGGTGGCTTTACAGGAGGGAGAACGTGACGTTACGAATGGTGGGCTTGCCAGATCCCCCCTCTTCGAAAGCCGATGACCGGAACAACTTTTCAGAGCTTAAAGAAAATAAGAAAATAATTGCATGAGGACTCCCCCTTATTGAAGAAGAAAGGCTCATTGTAAAAACAAACCAAAAAAAGGAAGAAAGCACCTAGAAAATATTGTTCTGTTTGCCTTTTTCTGTAATCCTTCCGTAAATCCCTTTTCAGTGGGAAGTGTTTTGAAGTTTTCGACTCCAGGCATTTAAGTAATAATTTGTGTTATAACTTAACACAGTATCTTAAATGACCACACCTTCTCAGCTTCAGCTTTGACGTACAGGATTCATATAACATGTTAACGTGTTCTATAATAAGCTGATTGATATATATATATAGATCAAATAGCTTATTATAGAACATGTTAACATATTATATTAATTCTGTATGTCAAAGCTGAAGCTGAGCAGGTGAGTTGAATACTTTGAAACAATTCCCACTGAAAAGGGAGATATATAAATATAAAATGTTGGGCAATTAATGTTTCAGAATTAATGTCAGAATTCTTTCACGCAGCTTCAAGAAGTAGCTAAACTGAAGCCTCTCAAAGATTTGACTTCTCTGTTCCTGGGAGACAATCCTGTTGCCAACCTGCCCCATTACCGTCTCTACACCATTTTCCATTTGCGGTCACTGGAGGATCTTGACGGGCAACAAGTGACCAATCGGGACAGAGAGGAGGCTCACGAGAGGTTTAATTTAGGTAAATTTGTTGGCCACTTCAACGGACCACTGTGCAGTCCCATCTTTCAGTTTCTGTCCCTGTTTCGACCATGGGGTTTCAGAGGAGCGTGGGCTCCACCATCAGAAGCCTCAGAGTGAAGTGGTTCAACCACAGTACTGCAGTCAAGCTTCTGCTCACAACGAGTTCTATCCTGATGAGATCAACTTGACTCAAATTTTTTTCATCCTTCTGAGTTTGGTACATGGAGTGCCCTGCTCGCGGGTGTGTGTGTGTGTGTGTGTGTGTCACAATGTGTAGCCTTCATAGTTATGTTGTCAACTGCCCAGAAAATGCTTTAAAAGCACTATATAATCAACAAACATCAGCTCTATTTAATTATTTGGAGCAAGAAACTGAGGAACACTCTGTAATTGAACATAGCTAGACGGCCAACAGAGCCTGCTACAAACTGCAGTACTGCAGTCAAGCTTCTACTCACAACAAGTTCTATCCCGATGGAATCAACTTGACTCAACTTTTTTTCATTCTTCCGAGTTTGGTACATGGAATGCCCTGCTCGCGGGGGGGGGGGGCAGTGTGTCACAATGTGTAGCCTTCATAGTTATGTTGTAAACTTCCCAGAAAATGCTTTAAGCACTATATAATCAACACACTCTGGTTTACCATCAGCTCTATTGAATTATTTGAAGCAAGAAGCTGAGGAACACTCTGTACTTGAACTTGGCTAGACTGCAAACAGAGCGTGCTATTGTAGATTCTTCAGAATGTGCATTTTGTGTTGAAGACACTGAGTTCGTTGCCTTGTGAACTAAACACAGTACTTCTGTGTTTTCCTGTTGCATGTGATGGTTTCAGGTCGGCTTGAGATTCAGTGCTCATCCCACACCTTAACCAACAGTGAACATCATAAGCTGTGTGCTAAAAAACCTCCTGTCTCTAGTGGCCATTATAATGCATTGTTTGTTCGTCTGCTAGCAGTAAACACAGGTAGGAGCCAAAAATGTGTATGGCTAGACTGCAAACAGAGCGTGCTATTGTAGATTCTTCAGAATGTGCATTTTGTGTTGAAATGGACACTGTGTCCATTGCCTTGTGAACTAAACACAGTATTTCTGTGTTTTTCCTGTTGCATGTGATGGTTTCAGGTTGGCTTGAGGTTCAGTGCTCATCCCACACCTTAACCAACAATGGACATCATAAGCTGTGTTGCAAAAAACTGCAATAGTTATTCTGTGTAGTAGCCCTTATAATGCATTATTTGTCCGTCTGCCAGCAATAAGCACAGGTGTGAGCCAAAATGTGTACGGTTTGCTCCGTTTTGCAGAAGAGGTCGAAAATCTAGAAAAGGACCTGGAGAGGACAGCGAAAGAGGCAGAGGACTTAAGAAACAAGCAGTCTCGTCTCCTTGAACAGCTTCAGCAACAAGAAGACCAGAACAAATCACTGAAGCAAAAAATCCAGCAACAGAAGCAGAATTGTAAAGAGCTAGAGAGTTCGCTGGAGACAAAAAATGAACTGGTAAAGTCATTTGAGTTATCCGCAGAAAGTTCTGTGTCTGTTTTTGTGCACCTATGCACCCTCACTGCAAATATATTCAAGGTCTGTGATACAACCTATGATATTCTCTGATGAAAGTTTTATATTTTATTTCCTTCGGGATCACAATCGGTTAATTCTATACTTCTATAATGAGAGTGAATCCCGTGGGGGTGCATCAGGATGGGAAGGTATGGAATCATCTTAGCGGATGATTTCTCACCCTCTGCCAATGGCTACTGGGATTGTTGTGTTGTTGGATGTTGCGATTGTTTTATAGGCTTCATGATACGTGCTTTTTTGCTGACTTCTTTCAATGTGGTTAATTGATTAGGGTTTGAGACGCTGTGTCTGAGTTTTTCTTTTGCAGTGGCCCACTCTATCTGTGGTTTAATTCTCACATCTTAGCGGATGATTTCTCACCCTCTGCCAATGGCTACTGGGATTGTTGTGTTGTTGGATGTTGCGATTGTTTTATAGGCTTCATGATACGTGCTTTTTTGCTGACTTCTTTCAATGTGGTTAATTGATTAGGGTTTGAGACGCTGTGTCTGAGTTTTTCTTTTGCAGTGGCCCACTCTATCTGTGGTTTAATTCTCATATTTAAGTGCTGTTGAACATGATCCTGAATTCCACTGTTACTGTGGATGTCAGATTCACAGCTATAAGGTAGCCAAATAACTATCGCAGTTGTGTTCTTCATTACTGTGGCTAGAGGGGGGAAAACCTGTTAGTGTGTCTTCATTAAGTGCAGCAGTGAAAGTTCTGTATCTGTTTTTGTGCACCTATGCACCCTCACTATATATATATTCAAGGTCTGTGATACATGCAAACTATGATATTCTGTGATGAAGTTTTATATTTTATTTCCTTCGGGATCACACGCCGTTAATTCTATACTTCTGTAATAAAAGTGAATCCCGTGGGGGTGCATCAGGATGGGAAGGTATGGAATCATCTTAGCGGATGATTTCTCACCCTCTGTCAATGGCTACTGGGATTGTTGTGTTGCTGGATGTTGCGATTGTTTTATAGGCTTCACGATACGTGCTTTTTTGCTGACTCCTTTCAGTGTGATTAATTGATTAGGTTTTGAGATGCTGTGTCTGAGTTTTTCTTTTGCAATGGCCCACTCTATCTGTGGTTTAATTCTCATATTTAATTGCTGTTGAACATGATCCTGAATTTCACTGTAAGATTCACAGCTATAAGGTAGCCAAATAACTATTGCAGTTGTGTTCTTCGTTACTGTGGCTAGAGGGGGAAAAACCTGTTAGCGTGTCTTCAATTAAGCGCATCAGGACTGAACAAAAAACTCATTTCAAAAAGATGCATGCATTATTATTATTTTATCCCTCTGAGAATTAGATGTTTTGGGCATAATCCTTTGAGAAGTCTTTCTGAACCGTGGCCACCAAAATGAACATTGGCGATAACACCTTGGTGAATTCTGTTGTATACCCGTTTCGTGAGTTGCATAATAGTCTTTAGAGCTGGCATCTGCTACTTCTCAGCCTTGCCTACTTCTGTTCTTGTAAAGGATCTGATCTTGCTTGCTTCCCTTTTCCTTCAGCTTGGTCTGACCCAGTTTCCTTCCTGCTGAGCCTTTATTCCTCCCTCTGGGTAGATTTGCACATTCAGTTATAGACTTTACAATCTGTTTTGTTTCGTTTTGCTGCTGCTGTTCCTTGTATTTTATTTGAAGGGTCCTTCAAATAAAGTCAACTGCAGGCTGTTGATTTTTCTCTCAAGACCTCCCTGTGTTGCATATTTTTCTAAATTACAAGCTGTGCATGGGGGTTGAGTATTGTGATTTAGAAATCGAGATGCTTCTCCATTTTCCAGTCTTTTCCTGTTTCTACCCTTCTCTTTCTCTCTGTTTTCCTCCTTTAGTTCTTTCTTCCGCTACTTCTTCAAACCTTACCGCATGCTCTCCTTCAGGCCACAACAAGAAGAGCTGTCGTAAGAGAGAGCACCCAGTTCTTTGCAAAAATATAAAAAACTGAAAACGGAGCTCCTTATAGTTTCAGCATTGTATTTTGATTCTTCAGCTACACTGTGACCGCAGTCCTTAGTCAAGGTACAGTGTAGGCCTGTGTGTTCATGCGTAGCATAGGGGGTTTGTAACTCTAGTTTGTTTTCTGTAGTTAAACCTTGGTTACAGGCCTCATGCATTTACTATGTTGGCTCTCGAGGGAACCAAGGTTAAGGCACTTGGTTCAGAATTTTCAGAGTACCAAGCAGGTCTTTTTGATGTCTTTAAAGCATCGATTTCTGTCGGTTGAGTGTAATACCATAGAGTGGTTTAGTGGTTTCGTTCGATAGGTTCTCCCACTTTTACGAGCACATGCAAATCAGTTCTGAAATTTGGGGTCTTTCCTTGACTACCACCAATGGGAACACAGCCCATGGTAATTTACAGTGGTGCCCCGCATGGCGATGACAATCAGTTCCGTAGAAATCGCTGTTTAGCGAAATCATCGTCTTGCAAAAACCGCTTCCCCATTGGAATGCATTGAAACCCGTTTAATGCGTTCCAGTGGGGAAAAATCGTCGTCGTTTTGTGAAGATCGCCCATAGGGCAGCCATTTTGCAAAGTGCTGATCAGCTGTTAAAACGGCTGTCCTGCGAAGCATCGATCCCGAAAACATAAGGAAGCCATTTTGCGAAGACGCCGATCAGCTGTAAAAATCATCGTCTTGTGAAAAAACGGTCCGCAAAGCATGGACCAAATCATCGTCCAGCAAAAATCGCCCTTTGGAATCACTGTTTTGCAAATTGCTATAGCGATCACAAAACTTCATCGCCATGCGGATTTGTCATTTTACGAGGCCGTTGTCTAGCGAGGTACCACTGTACATGGATACAGCATTCTACATGCGAGTAATGTTGACCCATGTGTTAATGCTCCCTTAGCAGACAAGATCCTTCTTCCGTTGCCTACCTCTGGCCCAAAATTCCCGCAGTTAAGATGTCAGTACAGCTAGAGAAACACAACATTTAAAGAAAGTTTCATTTGCCACCTTCCACAGACCAGAATCGGGGGTGGAGGGATTTGTTGTGCTTACCGTATGAAGTTTCTGTTACTGTGTAATTCGCACGCACCATGATAATGATCTATCTCACTGACTTACTGCTTCAAACTCTACATTGTTTATGAAACTGACCCTGTTTTTTTTCCTCCCCAAAACTAAAATTTGCAATTAGCTGAAGCAGAAGACAGTAGAATTAACCAGAGCCTGCCAGAAACAGTATGAATTGGAACAAGAGCTGGCTTTCTATAAAATCGACGCCAAGTTTGAACCGTTGGGTTATTATTACCCAGCAGAGGTAACTGTTTGAAAATGCCCTTCTGGGTTTTAAGGGGGCTAA